AATTATTGGACCATCATCGACGAGTTCAATCCGTGCAAGCAACTCATTTTCAAGGGGGACACCCTTTTCTTGTGAATTACACCAGCGGCATTGCTATGCTGGACATCAGCCAAGTACCATATTCGGAGCAAAAAAAAGATGTTGCAAAAACAGCTCATTTTATTTACAGTTCAAAATGCGATCGAGTATTCCACTCGTCAAGAAAAAATGTATCGGATAAATTAGACTTCTGTCACAGTTGATATATGTACATTCACTTCAAACACACAAGAGCCTCTGATCTCGCTCTAAAAGGCAAAGCCCGACATTGGCTGGTTAGGCGAAGACCCATTCATTTGTTGAATATGTTGAGGTGTCACGCCAAACAAGTGTCCCTGCATCGCCGCTGCTGCGGCGGGATGGATGTGTTGGATTTCCATTCCTTGCGGGTGCATTGCGTACGGATGCGGTAGGTATGCCATCGTCATTTGAGCTTGCGGGAGATTGTAGTGCGTGTGTTGTTGAGGGTGAGGGAGCTGGATGAGTCCTTGTGGGTGTTGATGATGGGCCGCCATCGTCGGCATCTGTGCATGGGAGAGGTTGTGGACCATCGGGGAAGCAGGGAGGGAATGCGAACGTTGATGCAGAGACGTGTGACTTTGGTGCATCATTGGAGATACATTGGCGTGCATCATTGGCGATGCAGGCATAGAATGTGTGTGCATCTCAGGGCCATAGTCCATTCCAGGTAGCGAGGGTGCAGGGGATCCAGCCTTGCCGCTAAACTGGCCGCCGTGGATCTTCATGTGCTGCGACAGGTTGTCGGAGCGGGAAAATCCTTTGGCACAGTTTTCAATAGGACAGACATATGGTTTTTCGCCAGTGTGGCAGCGCATATGACGACGTAGGTGTTCGTAGCGCTTGAATTTTCGGCCGCAAGAGTCAAAGGTGCAGACATAGTTTCGCTTTTCCTCTCCTTCTTTGCTCCGAAGAGGGGAAGATGTGACAGGCTCCGGAGTAGAGACACGTCCTGAATTGTATCCCTTGCTCAAGCTGAACAGCGACTGTGCTCGTCGCCGTTGCTTGTAGTTTGGAGAACCTTCAAAGAGAGAGAACACGCCAAACAAGCCCGGGTTACCAGCCCCAGGTTGCTGTGGAACAATGTACTCTCCGTCGGCGGTGTGGAGGGCATGGACTCCGTCTTCCGATGTCACAGAAGACATGGACGGAGAGTTACCAGTCGACATTTGCGGTGATGCATGAGTAAGGTATGGCGTGCCAGCCGCCGAGTGAGGAGATGAGTTCATTGGGTTGAAGACGTATCCATTTGGACCTTCCTGCGGCGGAGCAGGAGCGGCGCCAATAGGGGAATCGTTTATCCACTCATCTAGTACCACCGTGCTCTCTCCTGGTCCACTCATAGGATCAGGTTTGAGATGCAAGGTTGGAAGGCATTGTTGTTTAGCCAACTCGAGTGTGGGAATCAACGGCATTGGATTGATGGCAACTGTGGTCGGCTCAATTCCCAAGGCTTCGCGCTTGAGATCCCGCTCTAGCGCATCCTGAAAAGAGAGGAATCGTCAGTCGCAAGTACATGGACTTAAAACAAGAGATAGCATACACATACCATAAAGAGACGATCATGAGGAACCGAGAACCAGTAGAAAACTTTCTGCTTCTTTTGAGTCCGGATGCAGTTGTTTTTATACAGCATCTCGAGAAACTCTGATCTTGGCTCTTCCAGAGTCGCATCAATCCCAGGCTTTAGATTTCTCAAATCCGAGAAAACGCCCTCTTCAAACTTTTTCACATTCTTGACGGGACGCCCAAATCCTTGGAATCGAAACATCAGAGAGCGAACAATATCTGTTCCCGTGATGTGGAACAAGTTGTTCCAGAGGACGCAGGAGATGTGTTCACCATTTGGCAAAGCAAATCGCTTGATGGTTTGTTCAGGATCCCAATTTGTCGGGGCGGTCGCCAAAAAAAGTTTTAGCCGATCCAAGAGTTCAGCTGCGGAAGAGTCGGCGGCTGTAGGGTTGGTGGAAGGAGCGTTTGATGGTACAGTTGCATGGGACAGAGCGGGAGAGGCAGAGACTACGGATTCCGAGATCGAACCTCGGTGTCCAGCATGTGATTGCTGTTGTTGCTGCTGCTGCATGTGCTGTGTCGAGGATTGTTGGTCTTGCTGTTCATCGTGTGTATAATTGTGATGCTCGATTTTCTGATGCAAAAGGTCTTGCTGGTCGTCGTGTTGCTGCTGCTGCTGGTGCTCTTCTGGCGTCATGTTTTGAAGAGCCTTTTTTTTCAATCTTGACACAGTGCAGCTCTTGTCCGGAAGGCGGTTTTGTACTAGTTGTGTTTTGCAAGAGAATAATAACAAACGAGGAGATGCCTCTTGTTTGAACGATGGCAGGAATGAAGACGGGGGGAGGAAGGAAAGCCCAAAAGGTCTAATAAGCTGAAATCTGGCGCAGAGTCACAAAACCACAAGGTAAAACGGGGCGGCCACTCCGCTTTGAATTTCCCAAACAGCCGCACAAAACAAAACACCTCCTTGCAAAAGGGGGGGAGGAGAAGAGAAAAACGATGAGGGGCGGAAAGCGGCCGAGCCTCTTTATATCCACTCCTTCTTTCCTTTGAGCAAGAAATGGCCGCTTTGCGACAGCGTTTTAAACGCCACGCGCACAAAATTTGATGGGGGCGCGTCATTGATTGGTGCAACGAGAGGAAAAACAAATTTGAATTATCGGGGACCCCCCGTCTTGTTTCACGTCTGGGCATCATCCCCCAACGATACATCCCAAAATGGTCAAAGATCTGGGCATCTGGGTAACCATAGGCCTTGTGGGTTTGAATGCAGTGGGAGGGGCGCTCATGGGCAACATTTCCAGATGCACAAAGCAACGGGAAACCAGCCTTTGGGCACTCTTTATTTGGGGATCTCGGAGGGGACTATCGTCCTTTTTGTTTGCACACACCCACGCAACACACGCGACACCCAACTGACGATAAACCCACAGGCGTCTTCTGCCAAAAGGCGTCTGCCCCCAAAAGTGCCGTTGCATTCAATGTGTTGCATTCATGACTCGCGTGTGCAATATCTTTTTCTACTTAACGGATGCCCAATATTGTTTGGGTGCTATAAATAGCTACACGTGACTACAAATATACCTTATTTTGGCAAACACAAGAGGGAGCGCCGCCATCTTGGGAAGTTGGGATGCCCCTCCCGACGCCACAGCACCCGCCGGTTATCACAAGATATCACATGAGCGAGCGTTACACGTGCTAATGCATTAGAGCCAACCCTTTCGGCGGTGCTGGAATGCGGATGGAACCTGCACATTATGTCAAGATGCGCTTTTGGGAAAAAAGTAAGGGCGATGCAAAAAACCCAATTAGCGGCATGACGGCTGCCGCTGGTCTGCTCTCGCTGGGTATCTGCGCTTGCAAGTAGAAAGGAAACCGACGACGATACGGCAAGTCGCTGATATACGAACGCCTGTATTGGACGCTTGTGCGGAACCTTGTTTATTCAAGTAGCTATAAAACTCTTCGTCGACCATGGAGAAACCTCTACCTGCACCTCCTCTTATCACTACGACTGCTGCTGTACAAGTAGAGCGACCTGTGATCAAGCAACGTGTGACATCCTTGCCCAGCGGTGGCCTGGTGGCCATATCTCAGCCGGAAAATGACAACCCTCTCCCTCCGCCTTCTCCAGGGTTAAGTCACAGCTCCCTTCAGTCCCTGAGTGACGACGATGCCGTGTCGAGTGAAGAGGACGATATTGCACATATGCCGATTGGGAGTCAGGGGGAACTACAAGATGGATCTTCTCAAGAAGAGCTAAATGGTGTAGAGGACAAAGAGATATTGAACGAGGAACCTACGAGCGACGCCCATGAATTAATGCCTGCAGGAGAAGTAACTGAAGATCCAAGAAGCGACACTGGTGATTCAGAAACTGCAAGAGACGTCCTCCCAGGCGTCCCCCCACCCGACCATGTTCCATCACATGCCGCAGATCCCACAGCTCCACGTCCACCTGTCCGGATGTATAGACCATTGCCAATTCCACCTGACGCCCGACCCATGAATCCGCATATGCATGCGCCGGGTGCTCATCCTATGACAGTAAGTATACAGAAAGCGAGCATGGGTCATTTTTCCGATGAAATATACTAATACTGGGACCCTGGAATAGACTTTCCCTCCACATCAACAAGCAATGAATGCTCCGTCACCCGTGGCCCACCCATTTTCCCCAGGTCAACATCCTGGCTTCTATCCTTCCGGTCGGCCCTTACCACCACCACCTTTGGGCTGGCATGGCAGTCATCCTCATGCATACTCTCCACGACCATATCCACATCAACCACATTTTGGCCGTCCCAGTGGATTTCCGGCTCCGCCTGGTCCTCACATGCACTTTCACCATCCCCATGATTCTGCTCGCCCTATCCACCATGGCCAACATACTGGTCGTCCATTCCACCATCATCATGATACAAGTCGCCCTTTGCAGCATCCCCAAGATGCCGCATTTCGTCATCCTCAGGTTCCGCCTCAAGCACCGTCACTGCGAGCGCCGAGCCCACCATCCGACTCAGTTCCGCGATCCTCTTTTGAGGACAATGAAGACACGAGCACCTTATCAAGTTCTCTCTCAGGTCTTGACGTGAGCTCAAACGTTTCGGGGACAGATTCTGAAAATGCCCCCAGACCAACGTTTCGAAAATTGACCTTGAAACGACAAAAGGAAGCAAACAGGGCATCTGTGATGAAAGTATCGTTTGACCAGACGATTGCAATGTATAGAGAAAATGCATTGAAGAGCGGGGATAGCAGACTCAAGTACGAGTTTGCAAAGTAAGTGACCATCTTCTCCAAATTTGGCGTGCGACTTAGTTTCTGATTTTTGGCTTGTAGATTTTGTATTGAGGAGAGTGCAAAGTTAACTGATTCAAAATCAAAAGAGATGGTACGGGCCGCATCTTTCCTCTTCTATGATACGATTCTATTCACTTATACGATCTGATTTTTAGATCATGGATGAAGCCTTCGCATTACTAAAGGAGCTTTCCAAATCAGGCAATCCGGATGCAATGGTAAGGATCGCAGAGAACGTGGTTATTCTGAGGCGTCGATCTTACTCCAACTTATAAAGTACACACTGGGACAAGCCTACCTTGACGACCAAAAGTACGCTCTCGCGCATGCGCAACTAGTGCAAGCAGCAAAACGCTCGCACGCCGGAGCCTGCTACCTTGTCGCCAAATGCTCAGAAAAAGGCCTCGGCACCAAAAAATCCAATCGTGTGTCACTGGACTTTTACAACAAGGCTGCCCAAGCAGGGTTCAAACCCGCCTTGTATCGTCTAGGCATGATTGAATTGCGAGGGGAACTAGGGATAAAACGGGACGTGAGGAAGGCGGTCATGTGGCTGAAAAGAGGAGCTGCCGTCGCTGACAAAGAACATCCACAACCGCTTTTCCAACTCGCCCTCATATTTGAAGCCGGCGTACCACCTCATATTCAACAAGATGAAGGCTATGCCCGAGGATTACTCATTGAAGCCGCAGGATTGGACTATGCCCCAGCTCAATACAAACTCGGCTGCTGTTACGAGTTTGCTAGAGTCGGATGTCCCCGTGATCTGGTATGTATCTCATTAGAGCCATTTCCCTTAACCCCCTGTTATTAACTCTTTTCGTATCCAGCGAGAGGCTATCTATTGGTACCGAAAGGCTGCAGAAAACGGGGACACGGATGCAGCGTTTGCTTTGGCGGGCTGGTACCTTCAAGGCTGTGAGGTAAGCAGATCGGAATCACTCATTTTCTCTAAACAGGAATAGCAATGCTCACACGTTTGTATCCCTCCAGGGCGTTCTAGAGCAAAACGATCACGAAGCTTACTCTTGGACTTATAAAGCTGCCTTGAAGGATCACGCAAAAGCACAGTACGCCATTGGGTACTTTTGTGAGACAGGCATTGGCTGCACGCAAAACATGGAAAAGGCTGTACGGTGGTATCGTCTGTCCGCGAGACTGGGCGATGAACGGGCGTTGGCGAAAGTTGGACATGAGGCTCCTAGTGCAACGTCATCTGTGTCTTCGGCAACGAAGGAAGGAAAGGGACTTTTTGGGTTTCTGGGCAAGAAGTAATATTATTTCATCATAGACAAATGATTTGTATCATTCCTGCTGTTGAGTTCTTGTCTAAGTGTCAGATAGATGGCCCGAGAGGAAGCTAATCTAAGGTCAGCTCAAAAACAAAAAAACGAGTCAGGACCATTAATGGAGGTTGCGGGGCTCGATCCCGCGGCCTTCCGCATGCAAAGCGGACGATCTACCACTGATCTAAACCCCCGACGCTAATCTCTGCGCTAGCTCTTCCTCAATAAAATATCCGAACGCCCGTCCAGGGCTCCCTTTCTCATTGCACACCTTTTGTAGAGTTTCAGGAATGCCTCCCCGACCACCATGACCATCGTCTCAAAAAACCGTCTAAAGGTGAGCATCCACAGCCCAGAGATCCTCTTGCAAACCACCCTGCTCACTACCCATGTAGAACGTCTCACACTCCCGACCCATCATCTACGGCTCCTACGCCGCCCTCTTAAAAACCGGCGAAAAACGCGCTGACCCCTCCCACACACACAAATGGACCGTGTACGTCAAAGGAATCCAGAACGAAGATCTCGCAGTGTTTATCAAGAAGGTATCATTTAAATTGCACGAGAGTTTTGAGAACCCTTTACGAGGTACGCTATGTTATCGTGCGCATCCGTCTGATCACCCACCTATATATTGACTTTGTTAATAGTCATTGAAGCCCCGCCTTTTGAAGTACACGAGACGGGATGGGGCGAGTTCGACATTGCCATCAAGATATACATCCACGAAGAACTCGAGTCAGTGAAACACATTCAATTGCATCATACCCTCCAATTATACCCAAAGGAAGACGCTGCAACCGCATCAAATAAGCCAGTCGTATCTGAGCATTATGAGGAGATTGTATGTTTGCGGTTGAACCATTATTGTGAATGAGGTCTTATTTGTTGTCTCGTTGGTAGGTGTTTAATGAACCGACTGAAGAAACGTACAATAAACTATCGGCAAACCCACCGCCGATGCTAACTGGCGCCAAGCGGGAAAAAGTTACTCATAGTTTCAGTAAGTAACAGAATCCTGTCTTGTTGCTGTTTAGAAAGTGGAATCTTATTGTTCATTCCCTGGCAGCGCCGCACGCCGAGCAAGAGGAGCTCAAAAGTTTGAGAGAAGCAAATGAAAAAGTCCTGCAACAACTAGAGAATGAGAAGACTCGTTTGCAGGCTGCAGAGGATGAGCTGGAAACTTTGAAACGACTGGTGGGGGATGACGTTTGACAAGATGTTCTTGCTACGATCAGTCCTGCGGTATGGGCAAGTGCGGTTTGATTACCAGTGTACATATACATAGCATTTTCCGCCTATGCAAACATACATATATAGCAGTCGTCATCACAATGGCGCGCAGGCTATCTGTGAAAGCTTTATCAAACCTCTAATTTCAGGAGCAACAAACATTTCTCGCTTGCAAAAAAAAAAAAAAAAAAAAAAACAAAATATAACCTGAGACATCAACTGGACGCAGGCGAGTTTGTAAGCCAGCCTCCTTTTGCCATTCCTCACAAGCAACATCAGCCTATTCACTTCCCAACCTCCAACCCCAACCTTGTTCGCACACCCTCCAGCACCTTCTTGACACGCGCCAGTGCACTTTCCGCATGGCCCTTCCCCGCTATAACTCTGCAATCACCAGAAGTGTATGGCGGAACAATTTCGATTTCGTCCATAACGATTATGGAGCGTTTACGCCACGTTGTTGGCAGCGTTTTAGAAAGGTTGTCAAAGATGTCCTGTGAGAAGGACGTAACGTCAGTACAAAGATGGACAGCCGTGGCAATGGGGTGGATACATGACATTACCTGCGCCTCCGCCGGGACTCCCACACCTATCCTCGCAACAGCCGCATGTTCACGGGCAACTAGCTTATCGAGAGGGACCTGACCCACCGGTACCAACAATGGAAGGGGCTGCGGAACCTTGCTCTGCTTTCCCTTTCGACCGTTCTCGCCGTCCAGTTCGTCGTCTCCCAAACGTGCAAGAGGCTCCACTTCCTTAATGTGGTTCAGCTTCACAACATGGAAATCAAACTTGAGTGCTCCATTCTGGATGCTTGAACCGTTTGCCATCGCAGAAGAGGTATAGGCAGAAGAAGCGGATGATGATGGTTTCTTTGGCGGCGGTGGGGAAGACGAGGAAGACCGGGAGGCGGCAGCTGCTGCGGCGGCGGCAAAGCTCAAGGGCCTGCCGTTTGACTTGGGCGCAGCTGCAGGTGTAGGTGACGTCTCACTGGCAGACTGACTTGGCTTTCCAGGTTCAGGTGAGGCACTCGGTTCCGACGACAAGGCTTGCAAAACCATTACTCCCAGAACAGTATCATATGCATATATTAGCCCTTCATACACATCCTCATTGAGCGTCACAAGCCGAACCCAGATGCCGACTGCACCAGAGGGATCCAGACCGACCAAACTGCTTGAGTCGGGAACGGACGTTGCGGCTTCAGAAGATGGTGTAGCGGGCTCATCATCCTGATGAATCATTTCATCAATGATCGTTGGAGCTGCAGCTCCGCTGGCCATGGTTCAGCGCGAGGTCACCAGGCTCTGAGAGAGAGAGACACAGAGACCGAGGAATACAAAGAACGGATGGGCTAGCCAATCCAGACGCGATAAATGAGGGAGATCGTTGCTTGGATAGGGAGAATTCCCAGCTGTTCAAAGATCTTCCGCCAATAGCGTTGTAGTAACACACCGAACTGGTCCCAGGGTACACTTGCAGCGGTTACAGTCTACCACAAAATCCTGAACGTGCGCCGTATACAGGAAAAACACACAAGTGATGGGATTGGACCAAGGCGCCGGCGACGTCAGTCAGTCATCCACCCGATATGTATCTCCTTCTTCCCCACTCCGTCCTAGTCACAGCGTTCTTGACTCGATACGGACGAGGTCTACTTCTGACCAGAGATGTGCTGTAGATCCCCTCTGTCGTCAAACTCACTGGAACACGCCTACTTAGGGCAGGCTCATATAATCCCCAAACGGCAGCGGGGAGTCCGCATATTAGGCGCGCCTTGTTGCCATGGCTTGCGGCATTATGTAAGTGGACCTCCACAGCGCTGACCCCATTGATGAAGGAAAGTCCCAAGTTTACTGAAGGGGACGAACAATAAAGGTGAAGAACATATTCAGGACACAAATAGGATGCGTCGGTGATGTAGAGCTCATGATATAAATTGGTAAAAATGCAAGCAGTAGGAATCATCTATGCATATATAGCAGCAGGCTTCAATGCCAAGGAAACCATCCAATACTACTCTATAGATTCTCCATGTTTGACTGCGTCCATTCCAGAAACAATGTCTGATGCCCGCCAAGGGTAAACTTGTACCTCACTTTCCCTGGTCAATTTGGTCAGGCATTCTATGTAACTATTAATGATTTCGATATTTACATCCGTTCATCCCATGATCACTATGTACTGAGCTTTGCCGCCAAGTCGCATCCGATTCTAAATGACCCCACTAGAGCTCCTAGCTGGATCTTCTCCGAACAGCTTGTTGATAAGTTGTACCTAAAGATGATAGGTGAGGTGGGTCGAGACTTTTCGTCAGTACACGGCGTACTCACTCTATCTCTGCCATTTTATCCAAAAGAACGATTCGAACAGGTGGTGGCAGCTCAGTCACAGCCACAACGTCGTGCAATTCCGTAATAATATCCGCCAATGCCAGACCTTTCGTAATCCGCAACTGCTGAATGTCTAGGAAGATGACTTAGTGATAGCTCTTGGACACAGTCTCATTTTGCGGACGTACTTTCATAAGCAGTCGCAAAATCAGAATTCAGTAGCCACTCAGCAATTTGGTTAATGTCGGCGGGAAGAGGAGATCCTGTGCACAAATACACAGCTTGCTCTGTAACTGGTGAAAATGCTGCATGGGTGGCCTGTCCGAGCCGTAAGGCAGGATCTGTCAGGAGAGGTCGATTGGATCCAAATACAGCTGCGATTTCAATACCTGAAGTATGTTCAGAGCCCGTCGCATGTCACCCAACGATAGTTTCAGTAGAGCTTGTCGACCATCATCCGTAATATCAATGCTAGAGGAAGCAGCGAGTGCAATGTCAACAAAGACGGAACAGATTGACTTCGCAATACACGACCACATACCCTTCTGCTCCAATGACATAATCTAGCCGCGTCTTTATTTGGTCCTCCTTCAGAGGAGAGAAGCGGAATCGAGTACACCGCGATTGGAGAGCAGGTATAATCTTTCCTACGTAGTTGCATATAATGCAGAACCTGACGTTGCGGGTGTACTTCTCAATAACTAGTTTGACACCACTATTGTAAGCCCTGACTCGTTCATCAAAGATTAACCAACTTCCTTACTTCGTCGCAAAGCATTCTGCGCCACTTGTGTCATTGCATCCGCCTCATCTAGAATAATGAGCTTAAACCCTGAACTGGGTTGGACAGCGTTGTGGTTGGCAATTATTTGAACACTAACTCAACCGCGAGAGAAGCATACCTAAAGATCTTCTTAGTACTGGCAAAGGTCTTGATTTGCTCCCGCACAACATCAATACCGCGCTCGTCGGAAGCGTTAAGCTGAATATAGGGACATCAGTTTCATGCATTTACGTATTGGCCACAATAGGATATTGCGTGGCCTGCGTACCTCCAACATCATGGATTTGTATCGAGGCCCATAAAGCTTCCTAGCGCAAGCAAGAATGGTAGATGTTTTCCCAGTGCCCGGAGGTCCGTAAAATAGTAGGTGTGGAAGTCGGTTTTCGTCAATGAAACGAGATACTACGTATGAATGGCGATGAATATACGGCATTTTTAGAACCATGATTAGATCATATACATACTAGTACTAATTATATCCTTATGAGAAATCAGGTCATCAAGGCTCGCCGGTCGGTACTTTTCTACCCTTTAGAATACCAAGAATTGGTGATTGAGAACTAGTGGATAAAATACTACTCCTTTTGAAAGTCCGAAGCTCACCAAGGCAGGTTATCTCGTTCTTGACCCAAGCTCGATATCACAGCCTTCCCTTTGCCTTTCATCCCACCTGGTTTTGATAAAACCGGGGGCGTATCCACGTCCATAGGATCTCCCATCATTGCTAAAGTCGCTCTGAGATCACAAACCGTTGGAAATCCCAGCGATGTCCGATCGGGAGTTTCCACGTGATCAACATTAATGCTATTCACATTCTAACCTATCGGCCTCATGGGGGTTGCCCGTCAACTACTTTACTTGCATCACTTTTAAAAAAGCTAGTCGAGTAATGTCTGCAGGGAGGTTTTACAGTGCATATTATATGCGCTCTTCCTTATCCCCTTTACTCCGTTCTCCAAGATTTGGAAGATGTCGTCCTTTCGCAACGTCTAGCACGACGCCCCGTGGTTGGCGAAAGTATGCCGGCTACTTCCGTGACCATCCAGGTTCTCATTTGGTCTCCTTTGCCCTCCTCCACGAGCTTACAGCCGTCCTCCCCCTGCCGATCATTTATTTGCTCCTGTCCACTTATGATCTCCCCATACCCTTCCCTGAAGCGGTACTAGCAGAGGGAAATAAGAGAATGAGCAGAATGCTGGCAACTTTCGGTTGGGGCCCAATAGAGGAGGGAAGCCAAGTCATGCTTCATATGGCAACAAGCTATGCACTTGTCAAAGCGGCTATGCCATTGCGCATTGGATTGTGTTTCTTCATGACGCCGTGGTTTGCAAGGTGTGTACCAATCACTGATAACCACTTCCCGGTCAGGTTGCTTAATGGTAGCATTACTGCAGAGTCGCGGTCGTGCCTGTGCAGAATTTGGTGAAGCGTATCAAGACATGGTAAAAACCATCTAATCTCTTACTGCCGATATCAACAGTATTATCCCTACCCAAAACAAAATTACAGTTTGTGCTATACACAGACAAATGATACTGTACAATCAATCGTAATACCTATATACCAACTAGTACTGATACTCTAATACTGCTCATGAGAAGACTCCTTCCAGGGAATTGAGAGCTGGGATGCGGTCAAGATGACATGTGGATACTGCTTTTGCCATCTATCCGTACACCCGTGCAGATCCGGGCACTGATTTATAACAAGATCTGAAAGGCTGGTGCAGTTTTCCAATATATCTGCAACGAGGGTAGGACGAAGACGTCTGAATCTAGATGGCCAAAAGAGAGTGGGCGTTAGTGGTACCCTTTGTTGGAAGGTTCGTAAGACGAGCTTGAGCTTACCGAAAGATGCCAGAAATGTCCAGCCAACGAAGTCTCTTTTGGCAATGTTGAGCGACTCCTTGTAGTCCCTCCCACTTTACGCTTGAAAACGAGAGATCTACTTTCGTGAGCTCAGGGAGCTTGGCCAATGCTTCAGCAAAAATAGAGTCGCCAAACTGGCACCCAGAAAGACAAAGATAGGACAAGTGTGTGCAACGATGCGAGATCATGAGCAGTAAAGGAGAGACAAATCTATGTTCCCATACTCCGTAAGGTAAAGAGCTCTCGAGAAGGCTGGCAGCGATAGCCACGCTATTTGGGAGCGCTGCAGGCTGTAGAGTCGGGGAGGCAGGTGCGGAACTCGATGGTGTGCCAGGGGCGGATGAGTTTGGGGTTGGAGTAGGGGTAAATGTGGGTACAGAGGCGGTAGGTGCCGATCGGAAGCCGAAATCAATGCCCTTAACCAAGATAGCCAGGTCAGGCACAAAGTGACCGTTATATGCTTTCGTCGACGGTAGTGACAGCTCCGGTATCTCAGCAGCCGGTGCAATAGGACTTGTGGAGTGATGATCTTCGTCGATAGCGATTGCTTGCAGCTTCCCAGTTATCCAACGCATTTCAACGGCCAGCTCTGCATTTTTGGTCCCACAGAGCTTGGCAGCAAAAGAATTGCGCTGTCGAATCGACGTAAATACAATACACTTGTACAGGGCGCGTACAGCAATCGCATGCCATGCTTTGGAAACCGTCAAAAGAGGATAAATGTCACCCGTCTTTTCAAGGTGTGCAACAACGAGTTCCCAGATCTCTGTAGGAATTGGTCTTGAAGGCGCCCGCCGGCTTGCAGGATGACTGCATGACACAAGTTTGCGTGAGGAAGGAGGTGTAGGAGGAGGAGTCAGAAGATGAGCTGCACTGAATCTTCCAGTCATTGTGATGGCGAAAAATGTTGAAAATGAGATGGGCAAAAGTTGATGCCCAGAAGCTCTTTGCAAATCCAAAGCGCTGTCATCGGGCGGTGTGCCGTTTTCATTTATCTATAAATAGATACATGGACGGTTGGCCAATCATTACTGAAGCCACGTGTTCCCGCCTCTCCTCCCACCATCGGACTTTCCCCCGATCTCGCAAAAAGGAAACGGACTTTTGAAGCGCATGGACAGTTATCTGGTTGCCTAAAAACCGCACTTGACGTTGACGCACGGCCTGGTTCTACGCTCCGCACCATCGCCATTTCGACGGGTTAACGTCGCCGTACTGGCTTTGGAATCGTCGCAAAGACGGTGGACTGTTCGAAGCACTGGTAAGACAGTGATCTGTAGAACGTGAGCGAAACCACGTCCTCAAGCGAGGTCCAGCTCGCTTGCAACGACACTTGTTTGGAGTACTTTTTGGAGAGCTTTTGATTGTCCAGAAGCACCTGGACTTGACTTCGACACCAACCCGAGCGATAGTCGAGCAATCTGAAACGTGGGGTGTACCGCTCCATTTGAACCCTTGCGTGTGAGTGTCCTTTGTGGGACATTCTTTGTTCGGATATTTGCAGACTGCTAAATCTATTCCGAAACGGAACTCAGACGAACGTGCGGTTGTCTTCCGCGAGTGGAGACATGTCTGCCATGTTATCGGCAAAGTCTCCCGCACAAGCGGAGCAGGGACCAGCAACCAACGGAGTACATCTAGGCTACAATTTAAGCGACTTTGCTCTGTTAAAAACTTTGGGTAAGTGAGCCCCGCCTTCCGTAACGTAAGTAATGGACGAGTTGTGACCCATCGGATACTTTGCGCTTGTCCGTGACATATATAGGCACTGGGACTTTTGGACGAGTATATCTCGCGAGATACAAGAACACGAACCAGTACTACGCCGTGAAGGTTTTGAAAAAGGTGGAGGTTGTCCGCCTAAAGCAGGTGGAACATATCAATTCCGAAAAGCAGATTTTGGCTCAGATCAAGTTCCCGTTTATCGTAAACATGTAAGTTTGGTCAAAAAAAAGTGGACTGGAATATTGTCCAACCTTTCTCCTTTTCAAAGGCTCTGTACCTTCCAAGATGAGACGAATCTTTATATGCTGCTGGAGTACGTAGTTGGGGGAGAACTGTTCTCGCATCTCCGGAAGGCGGGAAAATTCAGCAACGACATGACACGATTCTATGCGGCGGAGATTGTTTTGGCAATAGAATACCTGCACAGTCTTAATATCATTTACCGTGACCTCAAACCAGAGAATCTGGTGAGAACCGTCGTGACTGGATTGCGGTATCTTCATTGCTGACCTTCGTTTATCTAGTTATTAGACGATAGAGGACACATCAAAATCACTGACTTTGGATTCGCGAAGAAGGTGGACGACAGGTTAGTTCTTTTTGCCTGAATCACCTCATGGATTGAAATTGACTCGCTAATCGTTGTCCTTAGAACGTGGACTCTGTGTGGCACTCCGGAATATTTGGCTCCAGAAATTATTCATAGTAAAGGCCACGGTAAAGCGGTGGATTGGTGGGCGCTCGGCATTCTCATCTTTGAAATGCTTGCCGGCTACCCGCCTTTTTTCGATGACAACCCGTTCGGTATCTACGAAAAGATCCTTGCCGGCAGGATTGTCTTCCCAGCGCATTTTGACGCCAACGCAAAAGATTTAATCAAGCGATTACTCACAGCCGATAGGACAAAACGGCTAGGGAATCTAAAGGTATTGTGGGCTCGACAGCAACTCACGTATATAGCACGCTCAAAATGCGTACGCATTACTAGGACGGATCAGAGGACATTAAGCGACACAAATGGTTCCGTGGCGTAGATTGGCAGGCACTTTTGAATAGGGCCGTTCAGGCGCCCATTGTTCCGGTGATATCGCATCCGGGCGATACGCGCAACTTTGAATCATATCCAGAGTTGATGGAAGAAGACCAGCAATTGCAGGGAGTGGATCCTTTCCGGAATTTGTTTAAAGTATATCATATCCGATTACTAGTGTTAGGCATTCTCTTTGATACTTACAGTCATTTTCTAGGATTTTTAAGAGCCGACAAATCTTGCTCCGTTCTTGCTTCATTTCAAGCCGAATGACGCGACGACTGTTGTCTGTGGGCTCTGTAGGATACTGAACAAGCGATGGTGCACAAGGGCAAAGGAAACAAGGCTGAACATTGTATTTAGGAGCGGCAAACCTTTTTCTTGAGTTGCCTTTTATCGTTTCTTTTATTTTATTTGTAGAGGATTGTTGCATATTTAAGAGACTATTGTTGAACAATGCGATCATCTCCCGTTGCAAAATATGAGGCGAGGATGGAATGGAAGAATAGTTAACTGTTTGGTCGGAAGAGGCCCAAGGAGATATATTAAGGCAGAGTATAAAGTGTAATTTAGATACGACACTGGTGGGAGACGTATATATTCCATGAATCCTTTGCAATGCTGCGTCCAAAAAAAGAAAAAGGAATGTTAAATTACAGCTTCTGTTGATTTGGGAGACATTCTCTAGTGATGTGGCAGCGGGTACGAAAAGGGTTTGTCGTAGCAATTTCATCGCGGTTCAAAACGGCTCAGTTCAATGTCGTGCAGGCATACGGGAGGACGAGGATGGTGGTTGTAGCTCGCGGTAAAGGCGCCCAGCGGAGAAAAACACAATGTTCGTTAATATCTGCTGACCAGCGTAAGATGATGCAGAACGGCTTGGTCTTGATGACAATCTCCCGTAGAGCTATTTGTAAACTCTAGACCACCATACATCTTTTCGATGATGTGGAAGACTTGTGTACAATAAATGGAGCAGGGGAAGCCGGCCCTTGTAGTCACTGCTGATGAAAAATCGCATGAAACGTCAATTAGTGGTGGAAAGGATCATAGGTTCTATGAGGGGGTTTCCGTTGCACAGTGATATGTAAGGCGGTACTGGGCAATGTCATCCTGACGCCGCTGAGCACGAGCATTCATCTACTTCCGTATTATGCTATCTATGAGGCAATCATGTCGAGCAACTAGTTCCAAATGGGGTGATACAGCAATCCCAGCGGTAAAAAGGGCACTAGACAAGTCAAAATGAAGGCCACTATTCGACTTTTGATGCGTGATTTGATTCTTGGAAGGGATTCTCACAAACATGCAGAAAAAATAAACTCATTATGCCACTTCAATCATCATCACCATCGTCGTCCAATCCTTCCAAATCTTCTCCCTCGAAGAGGTCTTCTGCCACATCCACCCCATTCGTCTTGCTACTGAGAGCTTCGCCTTCTTTTGACTCGGTAGAAGGACCCTGAGATCCATTTGGTGCCCCGTTCGTGGGCGGTATTTCCCCTTCATCCCCACTATCATCTCGGAGGTATTCCTCCATGGCGCCATCCTCATCATCTTGGTCGCCGATAGCCCATTCAGGGTTGAAATCGAATAGCTCTCTTCCAGAAAAGGTCATTCCGCTCTTCATTCCAGCTTTGTACTTGTCGTACGCATCCTTCTTTTTCTTCGATTGCGCCTCCGCCTCCGCCTTTTCCCTTGCCTTTCTGTCAGCCTTCCACGCTGCAAACGACTCGGCAGTTACAGGTGTCAAATTGGTTCCCAGTTTGTGTCGCTGGACAGTTGCATGTTAGTACTCCATGTCAAATACCCACACTGTAGCCTCACAGTACCTCAGTCTCCAGGAAGTCTTCAATACTGATTTGGTTTTCCCGCTCGGCTTCCTCACGCGCCGCTCGCTCCTCTGGTGTCTCCTTCTTTTTGAGAACAAAACCAGGTGGCAGAGCGTGCCGATATTTACATTGTTTGCCTCCATTCGGACATTCCCAGAACCATCCGTACTTTCTCGACTCGATCGCTTCCAAGAAAAACTTGCATACAATGTCCGTCGGCTTGTTGAGGTTATCGGTTCCGCCGTGTTTCTGATTGACAGCATCCTCCAATTTGGCTTGATCCCAATTATCCATTGTGTCTGACAGACCAACGTAAGAAAACGGTGTCGTGACAGAGAAGCGGTTTCTGCTACCTACCATCTTCCTTATCACGGGCATCTGTGTATATATCCGCTTTCGCTGCTTTCCGTTCTACGTCCAGATCGTGAGAAAACTTGCATCGTGTACCTTTCTGACATTGTCCTGCCTTGAAAAATGCACAGACGATCGTCTTCGGGTCCACTCCTATATTGGCAGCTTTCAAAATACCGTTCTTGTTATTTTGCAGAAATTCCTAAAAGCCTACATACCGAAAGGAACCTTTTGCTGAATTTGGACCGGTTTGAATAGCTCCGCTAGTTCAGCCTTTTTTGCAGCTTCAGCAGCCTTTTTGTCCGCAACCGTAGCCTTTCTTGCTTCTGCTTCTTTCTAAATTACCCATTGATATCACCCTTTAGAAATTTTAAAACATTGTCCAGGTTTCGTATGCATCGTACCTTATCCTTTCGGTTTCCGGCCGAAGAAGCCTGATCAGAACGAATCTGGTTATAAAACCGCTGGCGAGAGATAGTAATATGAAAATGCTAGAGCTTCCGCACATACCTGTTGCTGTACTTGCTGGACGTATCTATTGACCTTTGCTGATTTGTTCTTGTTTTTAAGACCAAATGTCTTCCAACCCCACAAGTTAGTTTCTTTCATAAAGCTCTGATTCACACATTCAGAGTGGGTCAATTAACGACTTATGCTCACCTTATCCTCTACAGATTTCTGCTTGGCTTTTTGCTCTGCCTTGGGGGCCTTCTTTGGAGGCATGTTTGTGGAGTTCCAGGCAATGTAGGTTCAGAGCTGTGTGAGGTTTCTGCCCAAGATTCCCGAAATTGACTGTGCCTCTTACTCACGTGATTTTGTGCGATAAAGTGCGGCTCCAGTCACACTCCAATGGACTCAATGCTCGCGTCACACCCTTCGGACATCACCGATTTGCATCACACGCGTCGTCCCCCCCCCCCCCCCCCCAGCGTGCTGCGCATGGGTTTTTATTCCCCTTACTGAACAAAATCCGGGAGGTTTGTCATCGTTCAGATGGTTCATCATCTAACTCACGACTCCCCAAATGCTGTTCAAGAACTCTTCCTTGATAACCAGAAAATTCCAACCATTCGTCATTTGCTGTCTCCGGACGCGGCCACGTCTCTTGCCGAGTATGTGAATCTAACGCATTTGAGCCTGAACAATTGCGGTCTAGGATCATTAGAGGGGTTTCCAGATTTACCGCATCTTCAAAAGGTGAGTATGTGCTTACGCAGTACGTTTCGTCAAGTCGATTGGTTTGTTAGCCGAGGAATATGACCTGAATGTGCTTCCTCGTTGCTTGTTTGGATTCATTCGTCGTAGCTGGACCTGGGGGACAACAAAATATCGGGTGAACTAGAGGCATTGAGCAACCTTCCCAGCCTTGAATTTTTGGATTTGAGCAACAACCGTCTGGATAGCATAGCTTCCTTGCAACCCTTGGTAGGCAGCACAATGTCGGGAACTTTCCAGAACCAGTTTTCTGACTAGTGCAATGCTTGCAGCTACATCTACCGTCCCTCCGTCACTTGAATTTGCTTGAATGTGATGTTACGAAATCGAGCGGGTATCCCCAATCTGTCTTCACGTTGCTTCCCCACCTCGTCTCATTGGATGACAAAGACCGTAACGGGAACGAAGTAGACACATACAGCGAGGAAGATGACGAGGAAGAAGAGGAAGAACCTGATTTGGAAGAAGAAGATATTTTTGAAGAATTTGATGAGGGAGCAGGTCCTGAGGATGATTTTGACGAACTTGAGGAGCAAGTTCAGGAACCTACAGAGGCAGACTTTGACGAGGATGAGGATGACGACAATGATGACGAGGGTGAGGCTGAGGGTGATGATGATGTTGAAGGTGACGAAGATGAAGATCTTGATGATGAAGACGAAGTAGATGATGATGATGATGGGGACGATGACGATGATGGAGAGCAGGGGGAGCAAGACGGTGATGACGAGACGGGATACCCAGATAGAGGCGGAAAAGGACTACCAAGCTCGACAATTCACGCGCTTGACACGGACGACGACGATGGTATAGGCAATGAAGAGACAAACGAAGGAGTTTTTGGGGACGATTTTGGGGATGAGTTTTCAGGCATCGGTCTAGAAGCTGATTTATCATATCTTACCAATCAAAATACCACGGAAACAGGGGAAGAAGCGTTAAATCTGAACGATTTTGGGGAAGCGTCGGGGGATGAAAGGGGGGAGTCTGACGAGGACGACAGGATTGCGCAAACTACTCCAGGGTATGTTCCGCAGGGTCATAAACGAAAGCGGAATATTGGAGAAGAGTTTGGGCTTGGGTTGGATAACTTTATGGATAACAATGGCGATCAGGTGAGAGCACTTTTGCGATACGAGAACGAGTTTTCTCTTGATTTTAACCAAAAACAAAATTCGGATACAGCTTGGAGATTTTGTGAATGATTGGGAAGAAGGAGAAGATCCTGCCTTCAAAAAAATAAAATAAATTGAATATCTCAGCGTCTGTGGACGCGACAATAAGGGTTGTTACACCCTTTTTGCTTTGGATAGTGTAAATCCTGCCCCAAAGATTGACAGTCGATAATCTGTTGCACCGTCAGAACGTCGGTTTAGATTTAGGCAGATTACAAAATGCTAGTCATTGTAGGCGAACAGCTATGGCGATTTTTGACAAGAAAACTAGAAAAGGCTCGATCCCTAATTCACAATGATAGCCATCAAAGGCACATCAACGAGCAATACAGAAATTTAACGCCAATTTACAAATTAACGAGCAAGTGCAAAAGTATAATACCAATTTACAACCTCAATAGAAGTCGGAAAGTCCTTGTGTATAGCATGGGCAATATCTGCATGGTAGTTGCGAATCCGGTTATTAAAGCCAGTATAAAAACAAATGACCGACCCTGATTGAGAAATGAAATCGTGGCAATACGTTGCTTACATAACCATCGGAGGTTCGCCCTCAAACAAGGATATCGCCAAGAAAATCCTTTAAAGCTTGGCTGGTCAAACGTCCTAAATACTTGCAAAACTTGGCTGGTCAAAAGTGCCGACTATCGTTTGGATAGTAACTTTATCATGGAGATTCCGACTTCAAATGCACGAAAAAGAAGCTCTATGGAGAGTCAGATACCTCCTCCCTGGTTGAAAAGGTTATCATCGGTAGGAGAAGCTGGAGGGAAAGACGACCAAGTAATGATAACAGTCCGAAAAGATGGAAAACGGGAGATTTTAGTTCATTATGACCAGGTGTTTGCCAATCATTTTATATTTTGGGAGAGTAGTAAACTAGGAACTAACTTATGAACTGAAACTCTTTATAGGATGCAGCGCTTTTGGACGAGATTTTCAGACGGAAGCGGGGTGGAACTGATTATTTAGGTGCTTTGGACTTGTTTTGTAGGTTTACTGTCAAACACAAAGTTTGTAGTAAAAAGTAGGATATTGACCAGTTTACCTCTGATAAAAAAGGTCCGATGGGTGGAGACGCACTAGTAAAAGTCGCATACGCCGATCCAGAAACACATTGGGATACAATCTTGCTTTTCAAGACCGGAAATGCCCGGCACGCAAAGCTTCGGACGGCATTTGAACATGCCCTTCTTTTGGATGGTCTTATTCTCGAGCGGGAAGAGGATGCGCATGAGCCTAGTAGGGCGTATCTGAAAGTCATGGTGCCTTTTGAACGTCTTTGCTGTGAAGCGGAGCGTATGAAGTTAAAAACCCCAATTCAGTCAAGTCAAACAAGTGCAAAGTTTGCTATCCGTCAAGGCAGTATACGTTCAAATAAATTGAATGCGGACGAAGTTTGGTCGGGTATGATTAATTTCATGCGTACGGCTTCTACGAAACGCCAGTCGATTACATTCAAGAAAACGAAATTGGCGGCTTTTATGGGAGGGAATGCTGATGTGTTTGCACCTCAAGATATTCAGTTGGGCTTTTTTAGCAATGCCCAGCGCAACTTATTGGTAAGTACCACAGTAAAGAAATCATTTATTGGACAACTCCACTAATACGGCGTACTTTAGGCCTATAACATTATCGTTCGCGCCAGATTGAAATCTCTCGGCAAACAGTATTCACGGAAAGGTTGCAGACATTTACGGACCATACTATGCGACTCTTACTGTTTATTGACGGTTGTTGTTTGTGTGTTTCTGTAGACTTTCACAAGCTTCTAAACGACGGTGTCTTTACGGTGAGTTTCCGTATAATTGAATTGCATCAGGTAAGTATATCGCACTAAAACCAACAATAATAGGATATATTTCCACTGCACGACGGACCAGCGCGGATGGTGCACCCAACAGCGAAACCAAACCGACGTTCAGAAATGTTTAAATTGTGGAAAATATCGGTATACAAGATTCCTCTAGACGATTTTAGAGATTATTTTGGGGAGCGTATTGCTTTTTATTTTGCATTTTTAGGTAATTGAAACTTTATTGTTGAAAACCCATGTGGTAGATATCCTAATCCGGTGTCGGTTGCAGGTCATTTTGGTCGCTGGTTGAGTATTGCGGCCATAGTTGGCTTGGTGACATTTCTCTATGGATTATCGATGGCGATAAATGCGGGTGCGCTCGAGTAAGAAAAAGTCATTCTTTGTTGCTGCCATCGTCAATTTTTTGCTAAGGTCTGATGGCGAGTTTTCTAGTGCCCACCCAAAAAATATTGCAAGCATCAAAGTCGATAGTGCATTATCCATTATTTTTGATAATCGTTTGACGATGCCGTTTGCTTTTTTTCTGAGTGTTTGGGTAAGTGACTCTTGTTATTTTCTTTCCTGTATTCTCTAACAGCTAACTGAGCATATCACTGCCAGGGTATGCATATCGTTACTGCTATCGAGCATAATTGCGAGCACTATTAGTGAACACAATTACTTATGATAGCAACATTATATCTCGAATTCTGGAAACGACGGAATGTGCGATTGGCATGGTGGTGGGACGTGCTACATTTCGAAAAGGATGAAAGAACACGTCCTCAATGGTACGAGCTTTTTTTTCGTAGCATTCGTCCAACTCTAAAGTTAACCAATAAAGAACGATTACAGGTATGGCACTACTGTCAAACGTAACCCAGTAACCCATCGAAACGAAGCGCATTTTCCAGCGTCACTGCGGCGATTGATACTTTGTGGAACTATTACCGTCATGCTTTCTGCAGTACGTGGACAATTTGGGCAAAACTTTCATGATATGTCAATGCCGAAACCTATAAATACTTTGTCGTTTAACAGATGCTGATTGTTGTGGCCACGATCGCTGGTTTCATCGTAGTCAACGTCTACCTGCGATGGTACTTTGACACGTACCTGCCAGACTATGATCAGTATGCGGGTGCCTTGAGTGCATTGGTTTCATTGGTGGTGATGACTGCTCTGAGACCATGTCTTGTAAGACTTTCAAAGTAAGTAGCCACAGTGAAATTACAATACGTGGGGAATGACCGTATAGATGCTTACTTGTCCAAAGATTTTTGACGGATTTGGAGAATCATAAGACGGAGACAATGTATCAAGACTCTTTAACGGCAAAGAACCTCTTGTTCGACTTTTTAAACACGTTCGGGTCACTGTTTTACATTGCCCTCATGAAAATTTGGATACAGGTTGAGAATCGTATTTCCGAGAGTCAACCCAATTTGGGAATGTCATATCTGAATGGGTCTTTTTTTGCGCTTAACCATATAGGACGGAAAATTGAACATAATGGGTCATACGGAATGGCACGATCAATGCTTGTACGAAAACTGCATGCTGGATCTAACAATTCAAATGGCGGTCGTATTCATGGGACAAGGGTTCTTGGAGCAATTACGAAACTTTATCCTCCCGTATGTACACACATGTATATCGTTGACTGTTTTGTATTTCGACATATTCATCCTACTACCAGGTTCTGGACAGAGTCATGGCGTAAATCCCGTAAAGCACCTTTAAACGCCGAATCAACCGATATGGAAATGAATACAGCCGTGTCCTCGCAGTATGAAGAAGATGCAAAGTTGTTGCCTTTTGGAATGTCTGACGGGTTTACTGGTACGTTACATTAGGACACTTGTAGACTGCCAAGCTTACGCTATTTGGACTTGCAGATGGGTACAATGGGACTGTTATACAGTTTGGATTTATCGTTTTGTTCGCTGTGGCATTCCCTCTTGCGCCATTACTCAGTATCATTCATAACGCATTGCGAATGCGAATAGGTGAGAAGGATGCTGTGATTCATGTTTGTAGTAACCAATCGCCACGACTCATGTTGAAAATATTTTAGACGCATATAACCTTTTGACGAAATTCCGACGACCCTACGCATTTCAAGCTGAGGACATTGGTGAGAATAAATAGTGCACTACTTGTTAGGCATTTGAATAACAACATGAATCCACCGTCTCAGGAATGTGGCACAACTGGTTGGAAGCCGTGTCCTACCTTGCAGTACTCGTCAATGCCTTGACCATCGCCTTTGCATCACCTTATTTTGAGGTTTAGTTCTATTGCACTGTATGATCATTTTTGCTTCATTGCTGACGTCTTGTTAATAGGCCAACTATCTCAATTTACTTGGAGAGAGCACCGAGCGTCAATGGACCTTGCGAATTGCTTTCATCCTGATATTTGAAGTAAGTGTTTTTTCCCTCGTGCAGTGTTTTTTCACGCTCTAACACCTTTCACAGCACGTTGTCTTTGGCATCAAAGCACTTGTTGCATGGTGGATACCCGATATTCCTTATGATGTCAAACACGCGATACAGCGAGAAGAGTACATAAATAAGGGAGAGTTGGATGAAGCAGATGCTGATGCTGATGATGTGGATCCAGATACACTTCGTCAGAATATGTGTCGCATTATGTAATAGGTAAGGCAGCGCTATGAAGGAGAACTCGAGTTTATACCCATAAAAGTTATTTAGAGTAGTGTAGTTGGGTGAACTTTGACGTATTGGATATTTGGAAATAATATTGTATAAGGGGGTCTTAAAAGGCACACGATGTGCGAAATAAATTGAATATGAGAAGAACAGAGCTATCTAGCTGGTGCATGTGCATGTCGTTGAGTAGTGTAACGGTTCTGAGAAGTAACTCCAAATTGCCAGGTAAATACTAGAGTTGCATACTGATGAATCATGGTCGCTCTGTTGGATTCCCACCTGCCCACCGGTACCAGGAGATAATAATTAGTTATATTAACGCTTCCGCAACCACAGTCGGGGGTTTAGATCAGTGGTAGATCGTCCGCTTTGCATGCGGAAGGCCGCGGGATCGAGCCCCGCAACCTCCATTTCCTCATTGCAGTGCCCTCTTTTTGCATCAATTGCCGTCATGGTAAACTGCTGAACACAGGCCCTGTTGTTATCCAGCCATGGCAGAGACCTGGGTGCAATGGATGCTTCAAGCTGCAATTCTCAAGAAAAAAAAAAAAACAATATAATGTATTGACCAGCAGTACACCCCATCTATATTCTGTCCTTTTTCCCTACCCGCTAGAACGACCCATCATAGAATTAAAAGAGTTTCCATATAAGCTAAAAGGGGAAATCGAAAAATGAGGTCCTAGCACAAAAAACAAAGAACTGTAACCTGCACAATCCAAACCCTACCAAATACCTCCCCAAACTCTACGCCAAAAATAAAACTCGTATATATATACATGATAAACCAAAAATTCCCCATCCATCATATTCCACTGGGACCTTTTTTCCTTTTTTTTCCCAACGCCATTTCCCTTTTGTTCTGGGGGTATACAGTTGTGAAATAGGGGGAAAAAACGCTTTGAAAAAAAAAAAGAAAAAGAATAACTAGGACGAATCTATACACTTGAAAACGCTTTTGAGGTTTTGGTTTGGTTTTTTTCTTATCGGATTGGTTTTTCGTTTTTGTAAACATGTTGCGGGACAACTTTTGTCGGTTGCGGTTCTTTCGAATCCATTCGCGAAATGTCGATGAGATATAATCAATACGCATTTTCTTCTTCGATCCACCATCGCTTTGCTGCAAGTCGCAGGATCTGCTTGTTTGGGATCGGTGCTGGGCTGGGCCGTGCAAGGACGGTATCCATTTCGTTACGTATGGCATTCCGCTGTTCAAACAGGGTTTCCTTGGCTGATAAAGTTCAAAGAGATTAGAAAATGACTACGCCCAGAAAGGAAATGAAAGATGGTAATACATACCAGCCCATCTCTCCCAAAAGTCCCGTAATCTGCGTTCTTTGAGGTCCCCAGAATGAGCTCCCACAAGGGTTCTTCTATGGTCATCAGCGGTTCGACTGGTAGCACTGTAGCCAGTAATCGGAGAGAATCTCGCGCTTTTAGGAGAGGTCGGTGTGCGGGCACGAAGCTTTTTTAAAGAATCACGACGCTGCGTCAGCGCTTCCGAAATCTCTTGTTCTGTTCGAGGGGACACCACCGGTTGCTTGGACAGGCTGCTCAGCTCTGTTGGTGATGTACGGAGTTTGCTAAGGAGCTGCGCACGTTGCTTTCTACGTTGGACTTCCTCAACGTCTTGACGAGCTTCCTCGTGCATCCAAGGGTGTGTCCGCAAGTTTGATAGGAATTGTCTGCGGCGCTGCTTTTGCAGCTTGTCTTCCTTTAACAGTTCCATTTGCCTGTCGTGCCAGGCCCACCATCTTCGTAGACGTGCCTGGTCCCACACGCGTAGAATCGCTTCTTGACGGAGATCTCGGGGCTTTTTGGGCGTAACTTGGTAAACTTCAGGTATATAGGTATGTTTTGGAATGGGAATAGGTGACGATGTGGATGTTGTGCCAGGAAGACGCTGTTCTCTTCTTTGCTGCCGGGCGACTCGAGCAGAGCGCAACTTGTAAACGACCAAGTTAATGGGCGACGCTTCGGGTGGGAGAGAGGTTTGGGAGGAAGGGATTTCATTCTGATGTGGAGGTTCACCCAAGCAAGACAAGGAGAGAGTGGCGGATTGGAAATCGCCGGCTGCGGCATTGTTGTCGATGCTCGCCAAGAATTCTCGCAGCAAGCTTAGAGCGTTTTCTACAAATTCTGCAAATGGACAGTCGTTGTCAATGAATATTGCGCTGGTAAATAACATTTTGCATGAGAGAGGGAGCATACCATTTCTGACCGACACTGGTACCGGCACCGACACCTTTTGTGAAAGAGAAGGCTCTCGCAAGGACGATGTTTGAAGCTTCATGGAAGCCAGTTGAGGTGACTGCAACAGCGCAGACATGGCTTAAAAACGTCTTTTGTGTGTGTGTGTGCAGAATAGCGTCCGCACAATAAAACAATGCGTGTGTTGTTGTTCGTGAGAAAACGGTATCTGTTAAGTCTATGCAAGAGAAATTCCCCGTGTGCCAAGTATAAACAACCAAGCCAAAAGGGAAAAAAATGAAGGAGTGATGACGGGCTCTCGCTGGGGGGAGGATCCTATGTTCTTTTAAGGGGGGAAGCGTCGCGGAAATAAATATCGATTGTTCTCGTTTTTTGGGTGTTTTTTGTTGATCCAAACGATATTCTTGTTCTTGACCGTTCAGAGCGACCTCAACATGACGTGTGTGTAGTTGGTGGATAGCGCCAGGGTATTAATAATGATGACGATGCTCGTTGCAGTGCAGCAAGCGAGACCAAAAAGGCTAGGGTTGAAATGACGATGAAATCGAAAGGGTATGGTTATAAAAAGCCGTTGAACGAGAAGCAAGCAGGAAAGTAGGAAAGCAAAGGTGGCGATGAAAAAAGGGTAGATTTGTTAAACACAAAAATAGAGAGAAATCCCGGGTCTTGTCTAGTGGAAATACTATAAACCTTTTTTCTTCTTTTTTTACTTTTGGCCGTTTTTTCTCTCTCTCTCTTCTCTCCCTTCCCCTCACGCGCGCGCTCTCTAAAAGAAAGATGGGGGCCGAGTAATTCACAACAAAAAGAAGAAGAAGAGAGCGGCAACTTTCTTACAGAGTGTCCAATTGCTAAAACAACAATGAATAATTACTAAGTGTTACAACTCTCTCTACTACTAGTCATTTTCTGTTGCTGTGACCCACACACACATCCTTACTACCAATAATAACCAATTGAACAAGTGTTTCCAACTCGCTTTTGTTACTCTCCTTCTTCTTTTACACAACAGCTGACGGCCCACTATAGGAACAAACTTTCCCAATAGAAAATTACAATTGGAGAAATTTGTATGCATTTTTTGAAACTTTTTTTGGTGAGACGACTTTCCCAGTTGTAGCCCCCATTTCGAGTTCTCCCATTTTGTCCCATCCATTTGGATTCCCGGCAATTGGAGTCAGACCGGAGGCTTAGTCGCGAGGATAGGCACGTGTGCATCACGCCACACCGCTTATGCAATCAGAACATTCCCAACATTTATTGCAATAGAACAAAAAATCATTTGAAAAACAACCCAACACACACACACAAAAGTAAACTGTACAAAAGGATTTACATGAAACAACCCATAGCCATTTTATTCTTTCATGCCTGAATTTGACTAGTGCTGGACTCGACCGCTTCCGCCGCTCCCGCCACGAGTGCCTCCCCAATCGTCAGTTTCACCCGCTTTGCCTTGACTGCTGGTTTCCCGCTCGCGTCTCCCCCGCGTTTCCTCTTGGTCATCTTGGATGCATCTGCTATGGGATCCGGAAGGGGAGTGCGGGGTGTGTAGGCTGCGGAATGGTGGGGTGGAATGTATGGGCTGTAGTTGACACTAGGATATAGGGCGGGATGGAAGGGAAGGGCCGAGGTGCCAAATGGTGAAAATGACGTTGTAAAGGGTCCACCGCTGAATGGTGTTGTGGTGCCAAAGTGGTTCGATGTTGGCGGATGAACATACGGGTGCTGGCGCTTGTTACGGACGCGATGGGATGGAGGAGAGACGGTGGGGTAAGGCGGAAATGAGCTGGGCATGGGAGGTGGCGGCATTTGAGCCGATGGATGGCGCATTCGGTTGGTGTGAGACGACATTCTAGGTGTCGATACCGGTGCACTAGAGCTGGATCCGTTGGTTCTATGAACGTCGTCTCCATAGTTACCAACGTCGCGAGCAGCCTCATACCAATTGGTAATCATCTGCATGTCCATGACCGTTGGCACTGTGCTGGTGGCGTGACTTTCTTTTTGCGCCTTACGACTCGACGACGCTGCCGGAGCACTGGCATTGGACCCCGTAGATCCTTCGTCTGGGGATGGGCTAACGGGTTTGGCCGGACAGACAAACTTGATGTAGACGCCCGTGCCCTTGATTCCCTTGCCGCCAGTGTTGAAATGAGACGGTAAATGTTGGTATGTTGACGGCAGAGTATCAGCAAAAGGTGAGGCAAACGAGAAAGGAAAGTAGCCGCCGGCAAGTTGAGGACTTTGATACAGGCCATTGGCCGTTCCATCAGTGTCCAAAGGACTCGGCTCGGCTCGGGCTAAACCCATCTTTTGTATTTCCCGAGTATCCACGGGAATGTTGAACGGATCTGGTGGTATAATGGATGACAGTGCGGACACGGCTGAAGTTGCTGAAGCAGGATAGTGACGAGAAAATTCATACGTAGGGTCGTATCGTGACCGGCTGCCAGTGCCTGCACGAGCGCCAACCATCCCTCCAACCAATCCTTTACTCCCTGTAGTCTTTGACTCCAAAATGTTGATCAGGCCAATTTGGCAAATAGCCCCCCACGGCGCAATGTACCCGCAGTTGCCAATGTCTTCTCTGGTCCATTTTACATGATTCAGATAGTGATGAAGGGAAGCCACTGCCGGTAAAAAATCTCTCGATCCAGCAAGCTCAACAAGGCGCTCAAATGCTTCACAAACGATGGGATCCAGAGGAACCGACAAATCTAGTACCAGGCGAGCAAGATCTTCAATCTCTCGAATGTCATGAATGTGACGGGCAGATGAAAAGATTGGTGGCGGCTCAAGCATTGTTTGGGGGGCGACCTTGTTGTCCGAGAGGGAATGGAATAGAGGTTATGTCGCGGCTGTTCCGGGTATGTGTTTGCGGGTACCTTGAAAGTTTATACAGGTCTGGTTGGTTAGGACGTTGCTCAATGAGGATCTGAATACGACAGGAAACCAATGAATAAGTAAGTTCGACCATAGGCAGAATAATGAGGCGTAAGAGGGCGCCGGTCTGCGGTACCTTTTCAAAAGCTAACAAACAATACTTTCCAAATCGTTTCAATGCTGAGGATGGTGGTGCTCTCTGGTCCGAGGAATAGGGGTGTTATATGAAGGGAGCGGTTGCTGTCGAATGTTCTGATTATACTTGGCTCGTCGAGAAATGTTGAGAAAACACCGTTAAAGGCACAGGTACAAGTTGATAGTTAGGAGAGTTGGGAGCAGTCTCGGAACAATACCCCCAGCGCATGCCACCCTCGAGTTAAAGAGTGACCCCAAGGAATGAAAAAAGGTGAACAAAACGAGCGCGTAATTATGGGATTCCCAAAATTTCGGCCCATCACTTCCCGTGACATTTGGAATAGGGGAGATTGTTTGTATTATCGATATGCTTGTTCAGCTTCCCATGGAATTTTTGCGGGTCTATCGGTATGTACCTTTGAATTGAACAAGGCCCGCTTCGCGCCGTCATTCAATTTCTGGATTGGGGGTCTGAAGACCTAGACGAGTAGTGAACAGACGCGCGGTTGCTGACATAATCATATTATTGAGTTCGATTCCAATGCATTGCATCATGTGATCTTGTTGCTATGACATGTACCCTGAGCTCGTTTGCCAACCCTGATGCGAAATCCCGTTGGGTATCTAAAGCGGCTCCAACAAGTATTTTGCCGTCATCTTTACTCCAATTTTCCTTACTTCTGAACGAATCCACGTAATTTCTTTACCTGGTTGAATTCGTAAGTCCAGATTTATCTAGAGCGAGGGTCAAAAGACGGTCCATCTTGGATTTAATCGCACGCCGCATCTCACCATTTCACTCCGCCTTCAGTTAAACCTTATCGTCCCTCCTTGTCTAGATTGAGCGAGCATTATTGCAGACGCTGTCTCTTGACTGCTGTCTTTAGGATTATAAGAGGTACGAGTTTGTGTATGACCCGGGTCGTTGTCCATGTGTGCGAAAACACCTGTTCACCGTTCCCACAAATCTGTGTTTATCAGGCCGTGAAGCTAACATCTGTAACACTGTATCCCTTCTCACAGCATACCACTGACCGCCGCATCGTACTCGTATTTCATACACACATACCCATACTACACAATCGTCATACCATGTCCTCAGAAAATCTGAATGGCCGACTGGGACATCTCACTCCCCAGCAAGAGGAGACGCTAGCGCAATTCAAGAAGGAATTGGAGGCGGAAGGATATTATGATCCAGAAAAGAATGACGATCATAGCCTGCTTCGTTTCCTTCGCGCTCGGAAGTTTCTGATTCCTGCGGCAAAAAAAATGTGGATTGATTACCAGAATTGGCGCAAGGAATTTGGAACGGACGACATACTGCATAATTTCGACTTTCCCGAATATCCCGTGGTGAAGAAGTTTTATCCGCGATTCTACCATAAAACGGACAAGCTCGGTCGTCCAATTTATATTGAACAGCTTGGCGGTGTGGATGTCAAGCAGCTGTTTGCGGTTACAAACATTGACCGGATGTTGAAGAACCATGTGTACGAGTACGAGAAACTTGTTCATTACCGGTTGCCTGCTTGCTCAAAGAAGGCTGGTCGCTACCTCGAGCAAAGCTGTACAATTCTGGATCTGAAGGGAGTGTACATTACCCAATTCCCCAGCGTTGCAAACTTGGTCAAGCAAGTATCGACGATTGCTCAAAATTACTATCCGGAAATGTTGGGCAAAATGTACATCATCAATGCCCCCATGCTCTTCACTGGAGTATGGTCGGTCGTCAAAGGATTCCTTGATGAGGTAACGGTCAGCAAGATCAATATTCTGGGTTCAAGCTACAAGTCAAAATTGCTGGAGACGATCGATGAATCTTCTTTGCCAAAATTCTTTGGAGGAACTTGCGAATGTGCTGGTGGATGCCAACATGCAGACCAGGGCCCGTGGAATGATGGGACGGTGGAAGGATATCCACAAGAGGAGTTAGAGAAGGTAAGCTACTATCTAATGTATGCTCCCTGCAAACATTTTGAAACTAACGGGGGCCTACTATAGTTTAATCGGCTTTACGGACCCAATGTGGGGACAGTTGCCAAGAGCTAGAGGAGGATACAAGCCCCAAAATTTACAAATGGATATTGTATCAGTTTATCAATACTATACCAGTATTGGCACCCGTGTAGAAAGCCGCAAGCTCCATCAGAGCACTTCAGTAAACCAATTGTTGACAACAGTATCTAATCGTCATCAGAGTCATTGTCCTCTGCCATTAGACCAGCAGCATATCCCGTTCCCGTAAATTGCATCAACACTGAAGCTGTTTCATCCGACTTTGCAATGTCGACGGCTGATTTCCCATCATTGTTTCGAATTCGTGTGTCTATTCCCTCTTGGTCAAGAAGCTGTTGGACAACTTTTGTGTGGCCGCCTTCAAGTGTAAAGGTATAAGTGTCCCGCAAAGTGCCCATCATGCCAAAACCCTGCCGCAAATCTTACCCCACGCGGCTAGATGCAAAGGCGTATCGCCCAGCTTGTTCTATGTATACAAAATAGACCATTTAATCTTTCACACTCGAGCGGATGGGCTAGTCAGGAGAGCTCTACCTGAGGATTCAACGCGGGTCGCCTCTGTAATAATAACGCAACGATCTGCGCATGACCTCCACGACAGGCCCAATGAAGAGGTGTATTTCCAGCTTTATCCAAGCCATTTACGGATACTCCTGCCGAAAGGAGTTCTTGCGTAAATCCGACATTTCCTTTCAAATCGTCAATTTAGGGAATATGTTCTTGTTCAATGGCTCCTTTGCATGACTCTATGCTCACCTCGCTTGGCAGCTTCTACATACGCAGATAAAAGTTGCTTTAGCTCTGAGATCTTCAGAAAACAGCAAAGAGTCTAACCATGTAAAGGATTGTCTATCTCGGCCGTATTTTCTCCAACTGAGACGAAAAATCGTTTGTAAAAGCATTTTTCAAAACAAACCCACATGTCCCGATCCAAACTTTTGTACTGTTTTCGTACCATAGTTTCTAGGAACAAACCCTTCTCGCTCGTTACAACGACATTTCCACCAGTGTTCTTCGTCCTTGTTTAGTACACTTGAAGCAAGCAGAATGAAAAACAATCGTCTCTGTAGAGAATTCTCATCATGAAACGTACAACAAGACATCTCCTTCATTGAAACTCAATTCATCTGAACGTTGAGCAGTATAATCGTACAGCGCACGGACGACTTGAATTTCCTTTTTACCTGGCCTAAACCAAAAACATGCATGTAGTTGAATCAATTCTGTACAAAGTTCTTTTCTTGTAAATGTGTTTCGTTACCGTGTGGGACGAGGAGGTGGAGCGGCCATGCTGGTAACGACGTCTATAAATCAATTTGACAAAACAATCTTTAGGTGGCAGAGGGAAACGGCAAACGCGAATGCAGCCATGTCCACGATGAGTCAGCACGGGGCGATCAAAGAGCTCTGGTATTTCTGCGCAGCGGTGAATGACATTAGTATTTGGGAGCAAAACACTCTACTGGTCAGCAACAATATCTGGAAAGCCCACATTGTTAAATATTAAATACAGTAGGGATGCCACTAATTTCAAAAAGAAAATCGCTGTACTCTGCTCACACTCTACATCCCTCCAACAACACTTTCACACCCGAATCTCCACCGCAGGCGACTCAAGCTTCCTCCGAGAATTAAACCTCGAATCCAAAAAAACCTTTGACAAAACCAACGTAACCCCCAAAACAGACTACCCAAAAAAACCAACCGTTAGTAAACCATCCCACTATTTCCTAGATCCACCAAAAACACAACCTCACACAGTATCGTCACAAATCCAGCAGTCGCATCAACCAACTTCATGTATATCGCAGTAATGATTAACCCAGTGGTAAACATGACTGACCACGCAAGAGAAATGTCCTATAAAACACAATGGAAACCAAACACTAGGATTCAGGGGCTCTAAAAGTGATGGTAATGCATGTTGCCTTGCCTTGGCAGACCGGTTTTTCCACATTGTGTAGAGTTGTGGTAAAAGGCATATAGCTAGTATGCTACCACCGAGGTATCCCAGCACTGTAGTGGCGACGGACGTAGTCCCGTCCATTTTCTATGAGTGGTCCAGCGGAGAATGAAAACTTATTATGCTTGTTGTGGTCGCTGCTCTAAGAAGTGGTAAAGTGGTTACCATGTTTACGGAGTTATGATATAAGTATGTAGGTTGCATATTGTCTGTCATTTTCTAAATGGGGGTTTAGATCAGTGGTAGATCGTCCGCTTTGCATGCGGAAGGCCGCGGGATCGAGCCCCGCAACCTCCACTAAGCTTTCGTTTGGATAAACTTTTTGCTTTCCGCTCCTACCAAATTATTCTCGTTGGTTGTGAGACAGATGCATGATAATATGGTTGCTTCCATTTGTATTGCCGGGACACAGATTTTTCTCTCCTTTCCAATAGTTTTCCCCGTTCTTATGCAAATAAGCCAATCAACAATACGGGCCCGATTCATAACACATCTTATTTCGTTGTGTATATCGTTGTGAATATCAAATACAATCTTCCCTGCCCTGTTCAGATTTGCTAATGTTAGGCAATGATGCCAAAATCCGAAAAAACTCGTGGCATCGCTAGACATCACGCAGTGAGTGTGAGACTTGCTTAGTTACAGGCATCAACATGCGCCCAACATACTTGTTGGATTTCCAGGCTTGGCGACTCCTTCAGCGCCTCCACGGTAGAGATTACAACGGGTGGACAGGTTCCAACCCTTTGTACGAGTTTGTTGATACATTGGAGGACATAGCTTGTAGTGGACAGATCTGTGCCGCGAAGATGTCAAGTATACACATCGCCGTGGAGATTCTCTAGTTCTCACTCGCTCACCTTCAACTTTTGGTGCATTGAGTAGCCGGCCCATTCTATCTAGAACATCATGCGCTTCTGATGGGACAGTAATAAACTCTGACAGTACCTGGTCAACCACCAGTTACTTTTATCCCCAGGTAGAAGCAGATACCACAAGGGTTTATAATGATCTTACCCATACGGCAAATTGCAGTAGCGTCACGTCCATCGCATCCTTGACCAATATCTCCAAGCATTCCTTGACACTTAATTGCACAGCACCCGCATCTTCTTGTAACAGAACCGCATTCAAGCGACTGATGACAGAGGGTCGCGCATCCTGGTGCACCGAATGCAATGCTTGAAATAGAATTCTGCAAGTTTCTTCCGATGTCACCGATAATGTAGATAGATCAGAACAGCAAAAAAGTTAAGGTAATGCACGCTCAAATATGGGTATTGACGTGCAAGGAAAAAAGGATATCGATTGAGAAGGTTAACAAGGGTCTCGCACATCCGAAGCTGAGTACACGCATCCCCTGATTTGCGTAGGTGGTCTAACACATGATCGACTATCGAGTGGTAGTCCTCCTTGGTAGCCACCAAGCAAAGGATTTTCAATCCCTAAGCCAATCGGAGCACCAAAGTTGGACAATTATATATATCTGTATGCGACAGAAACGGTACATACCATTTGCTCCAGTGAATCATCGCCAGACCGTAAGGATTCTTCTACCTCAGCTCTAAACCGTGAGAGTATGTCCCCAACGTTCGCACCTACAAGCAGGTATAGCCCCGCAAGTCCGAGATACCGAAGATTACTATTCGCCGATTGAAGCAGCCGGGACAGGATTTCCGGCGCGCATCCGAGATGATCGGTAGAAGCCACTGGAGCGACAATGCTCAAAGCCTTAATCCCTCCATAGATAATCGCTGCATTTGCAAACTGGTCATGAATAGCACTGACAAACTTTTAGAACTGGCGCCCAAATTACCGTACGATGCATCTCCTCCATCTTGGGCATTTTCCAAGGTGTCAAGAATGACAGGATGAGCTGTCTGAGCTGCCCTGCGCTGTAATAAGCCATCCGTTGCGCATTCACAGCTCGGACACATGCTCTTACTTCATATCGCAGGCACCTAACGTTCCGATTATCTCAAGACAATCGAGCTGTATCCACGGAGCGGTAACTCCATGGAAGTCATATTGCGTTGCCAGCCGGCCGTTAATCGCTTGTCGATGGATGTGAATGAACGCCGACAGAAGTGGGAGGTATGCCTTTGTGTCTGTCTACATAAATGGCATCTATGAGAACACAGTCTTAAGCCACTTGGAGGGATTTCCCGGAACTGACGTTACGGGATTGACACAGCAGGGTCCGGTACGTGGTCAATGCCACACTCATTACACCAGGATCCTGATCTGCTAGGACTCGTTTCAATTTGCTAACTGCAACTGCCATCGCGGTTGGATTTATGGTTGAGAATTTGCGTATCACGGCAGCGGCACGCTTTCGCACAAGTGCATTCTGTATATAGATGGGGGTCTCAAAATAACCGTGCGTTTCGCAAAAAGAAAAGTTAGAATAGGAATCTGTACATGCCTCATGACGAAGACAGCGCAGGACGGGGGACAACAAAGGGGAAATCATATCGGCGTTGGCTATCCCACATAGAGCTGCTAAGGCAAGAGCTTGTTCATTGATGTTGTCACTATTGAGATCCTGTGAAATGTTGAAGCATTCTCACTTTTACTCAACAGCGAGTGTATTCATGTGAAGGGGTACAAACATACCCGTTGCAAAGTGTTTACCATCAACAGGCTGAGTTCATGTCGTTCGTGCAAGAACATGGACACGCAGAGATACCCTTCGTCACCACCACAGAAAAATGGCATTACGGTGCTGTGAATAGCACCCTATATAACAGACAAATGGCCTCACCAACGTGCTTTTCGTAAAGCGATTTTGCGTCGTGCGTCAGCATAATTGCTTTGACATGGGCAAAATCCGCGGTACTGTAACCCATAGTTTCGCAGAATAGACATCGCAAGAGATACTCTGCTGTACAGCGTACGGCTGTTTCATCTTGGGATGAGAGATTGATTCGCAAGGTCTCCACCTCGGCTTTTAGAATTTGGCGCTCCTGTTGTTTAGTTTTTGCAAACGCTACGGAATTTAGCAGCCGTCGAAACTCTGGGGTTAACTGACTATTTTGCCATGTATCTCGCTCTCTGTTTGAAGAGAGGGTACAGCTTGAGCACACAAGAGAATATATCAGACTGGAACAACGTTTGCTTGTTACCGCTGTGGTGATGGCTCCATGACGGGCGAAAGCCATCACCCAACGACATGCAACAAGAGTGACGCGCGCTGATGAGTTCACGTGAAACGTCCAGATGGTCGGACTTCTTCCTTCACTGTCTACTGTCTCACGTATGTCAGATTAACATACGAAATCGTGTGTGGAGTGATCTCTGTAGGAGTTTAACGGGGACGAAGTGGACGTCTGCTGGGTTGCAATATATTCCACGCGAGAGCGTACTTTCTTCAATGGAGGATTCACGCCATAATGTACACACCACACTTGCCGAGGCTCTCTCCCAAGAACTCGGTGAGAACATGCAAGACGGCCGGCAATCAGACGTGAGCTCGCGTAGTTTATGCAAATCATATGCTATGTGTGTGGGCTCACCTTTTGTTTAGATAATTACTTTAGTTTCCCGTCTACCTGAATCGGCAGATACTAACAAAAGTTCCTACCGTCCCTCTTCCCCGTCTCCGAGAGCTGTACGATCAGCTTCTTCCCCTTTTACGCCTTTAACAAACATCTTGTCAAACACATTCTCCAACCGACACGACTCTTCCCCATTTTCTACTGTCGGAAAGTCCTTAAAGTCACGGGTGGAGAGACAATCGCCATTCCAGAAGGAAAATGACTTATATGTAAAGACTGCTCTTGAGGCCGCCGATAGGAATGTCGTTATCGTGGCATCGTCGCCTGGTACCGCAACCAGGATTCAGTCGTCTTCCCGAGGAGAGGAGTCTCCTTTACCACAGCACTCGGACAATTCCGGGCGCAACGTTTCCAATGAAAATGCTGATAACTCTTATCCGACATCTCCGCTAATACACACAGACGTACCGGATGGTAGCAATTTGATGGACGATGATGGGAGACGTACTTCTCTCGATGTTTTCTCCAAATCAAATCCCAGCACTATTTCAAGAGAAGGGAAGGAGTTATCTGGCCAAGGGTCGGACGGACTTATGGGGGACATAACAATAGATTCGAATGGCGACAGTGCCCATAAGCGAGGCGATCCCGAGCAATCGCAATCGTCAACACTCCTAAACATCACCGCCCTCCCTCCTTCACAGGAATCTGTTGCTATGCCGGATCTGCACCCCGGTGCTTTAGTAGATACGGCGGCTGCAATCCCGCAACCAGGAGAAGGACATAACGGTCGTGCCGAACACCGATTTAATCTGCAAGCGGAGTTCTCCAACCTTCAGTACCCACGCAGTATCCACTCCAATTTTGAATTCCATCCGAAAATGACTCCAGTCAAGACATCCCTCAACCCAATTGCCATTGCCGAGTTTGATCCTTTGAAGCCGCCTGGTCCGAACGACTGGTTTATGAGGTTCGAGAGCCCACAAGCTGCCATACAGGCGGCATCACCAGGCCCTCGCACGCCGGTTGGGCAGAGTCGACATCAACCGCAACTCATCAGTCCTCCACCATCGCTGTTGGATTCCATAATCGAGTGCCCCACTCCCTCTAGTATGCCAAAGTATACTGAGAAAGATATGGAGGATGCGAGACGGACATTGCTGGCAAAGGTAAGTTTAATGGTAGACAAAAGAGCAAGCATTTTGACATCATGGAATGCCGACTTTTGTCTCGCTGTCTTCAGTTCCAGCAAGAATATGAAATAGTGAAGTCGGAGATTTGCGATCTGGAACAAAGGCACGCAGCTGGTCAGGAAGAAAATGAAAGTATGAAGATGGCATTGAACGAATGGGATTCTATCATGCAGAGAATGCTAAGTATGTTCGGTTCGCTGCGTTGATGTATCGTCGTAATTTTACTACAAATCGCTTTGGCTAACTTGCGTTTCAACGTTCCGTGGTTTCATTAGCGGACAAGCAAAAGAAAGAAGGACAGCTGAATTTGGAAGTTGAGAAACTGGAAACCCAGGTCGAAGCGATGCGAAACGACAAGAAACGCTTGCAAGAAGACAATGATTATTTAGAGCACAAATGGAAGCAGACCCGCATGAATTATGATGATTTAAAAGAGGTAAGGACACCAGTTTTCATCTCAACGTCAGTTATGGAGCCTGAATTGCTATTCCTCAGTCCGGAGCAAAGTTGACGGACCAGATTGAGTCACTCAAAAGGGATTTAAGCGCGGCGGACACTCGATTTGAGGCTCTAAAAGGACATGCCGAACAAAAATTGGAAGAGTAAGTTTACTTTCCGCGATCTATATGGCCATTCGCTCATTTTCAAGTGTTAACCGCGCCACCTCAGAGCAAGCAATGAGCTATCACGCGTGCAGTTGGCGTACGAGAAGGAGGTGTCTGCCCTCAAGGCGAAATTATCCAGAGCAGAGATTCAAATAAGCACGTTGGAGCGAACAGTGGAAAGCAAGACGCAGGAAAACCAGGAGCTCACGAAAATATGCGACTCTCTGGTCGCACAGCTGGAAGAGAGGGGTAGTTGAGCGTCATTTCTATTAAGCATATTTATATTATATTAACAATTGTCCTAAATGTCCCAATTGTCTTTTGTCATCGTGCACGGCTCTCATGACTTTCTTTTCCACAATGAAAGCTTTTCGCCATATTCCTGACGTGTTCTGCTTTCAAATGTGTCTAGGACTTCCTCTATGAACACCTCTTCAAAGTGTGGGGACAGCAAGGAGCGATAAATATCGACCGACAAAGCAAATGGTGGTCCGCCCTCATGATTGCTCAATGGATACATGTATGCAACAAGATGGCCACCGGGACGAATGAGTTCCGCTACTTTGGTTGCCCACTGGGCACGAAGTGTTGGCTGCAGAGCGCAAAGAAACCTTTGGGGCGGTTACTGACATTGTTTGTACATCCTGGTCAACGACAGATTGAAAACATACGTGTGATCATATACAACATCAAAGGAACATTCCGGGGTATACTGAAAAAAGTCCGCAGTGACGAAACGGGCTTTATGTGCTGGAATGGCCTTTTCTTCCCGCAGCTTCTCTGCAACCTCTTTTGCCTTGGGACTAATGTCTATACCTACAACATAGTCTCTGCCGCTCGTATTGGATAACAAGAAGACATCCCAACCACTTCCACAGCCAGGTACCAACGCCTTTCCTTCGTTAAGCTGTGGGAATTCGTTTGATTCTATTAATCCTTGAAAGGCCGGTGCTGGTGCACCGTGATCCCACAATGTGACAGACTCGGACCAGGCTTTTTGCCACCCATCGGGTTGCGACAGCAGTTCTAGCATTCGACTTCGGTCGGACATATTCGTCGACAACCCGTTTGCTGATGATTGATCTACCGTCGAGTTGAATGACGTCCGCGTTGGGACTTAAACTCCGCTAGTGAGGGCTTAGTGTATCCAGTGTGGCGGAGGACAAGAAGCCTTTCCGTGAGCAAGCGCGTCAAACTGTCAACCCAAAACGCGGACGCGATGACCACTGAATTGAGTACGTCAAGAGGTACTGTTGACTCTCGTGAGGAACGGCTTAATCCATCAGTCCATCCACTTTCGTTCACCTTGAACCCAGGCGCCGTGGAGTTTGTACCGACACAACAACAAGGGCCAGCTGAAATTCCTTGGTGGGAAAATGCTGTCGAGAAGCTTAAGAAAGAGCTGGTGGGCTGTGCTCCTTTGTGTAGTGCCAAACACATATGGCAAGAGATATTTACTCTTATGTTTCTTATGCTATTCTGACTAGGCACACGGTTGGGAGCAAGAGAAACAGCGACTTATCGAAAGTTTCAAGAACGAAAATGAGACTCGCCAACAGGCTTGGAATCGCGAGAAGGAGCAGCTGGAGAAAATCAACGCTGATACTGTAGCCATGATGAAGACGGAAAAAGAAAAGTCTAAGCTCGTTTGGGAGGAGCTGGAGAAAATCAACAATCATACTGTAGCCACTTTGAAGAGGGAAAAAGAACAGCTTGAGCTCGCTTGGGAGGAAGAAAAGAAAAAGACTCGCAAATCTCATTTAGAAGAGCTGTCAAAAGTCAAAGGAAAGTTAGCAGAGGTGGAACAGCAATACCAGCAAGAAGTGGCATCGAAGGAGACTCTCCAGCAAGAGATGGTAAGATTTGCCTTCAATAGCTTTAGAAGACGTGTGTGATCTACTAATCCTGATGGGTCATTTCTATTAGAATGCTTTGAAACAGAACCTAAACAACTATCGCATGAATGAGGAGAACCTGAAGAAGATGCTTGAAGAACAGAGGTCCGGACTTGCCGCCGCAAAGCATGATATTGAAGAGATTGCACGAACCTCAGAACGGCAAGTTCAGGAAGAGAGAGAGCGCTCGCTTTCGCAGTATGGATTGCTGATTGAAAGGTGCCTGGATATGACCTTCGGGTGCGCTGCGTTGATGAAACAGCGGAAGGCGCTTCCAGATGAAGTTAAGAGCCTCATGCAGGGTTTGGTGGGAGAGACAATGTCGGCCGCGTTTCGATACAAGAACACTGTCGCGTCATTAAAGGAAGGAAGTGTCCCCGTCGAGGGCCTGTGCGTCTGGTAAAAGTTAGATATGTGTTTGGGAGTCGTAATGCCTTTGCTTGTGTGAGCCTACGAGTCGTCCACCTGTACTGATTTGCGTCACTTATTAAGCTCGAGAGTGTAAGATATAAATTGCATTATGTGTGAAATTTAATGGCCCTGCCATATTTCGAGTTTACATACAATACTACATAGTCATGCTGGAATCTGCCTTCTCCATGACAGTCTTCTGCACTACAATTTCATCATGTCCAGCAGGTGTAGTCCTCGGGCGTCCCGTCAGATCCGACACCATCCCACTGAAAACTGACACAAGAGAACTCCGTGATTCCCATATCGGAAGGAAGATGACGACCGCCGCCGCGAGGATGGCCCAAATCAAACCCACTACAATCCAGCCGTAAAAGAATGGCTTGGAAAAGACGTACTTGGAAAGATACATCTGAGGAAGAAGTCGCACGGAGGTCAGTACTGATATGCATGTCGTGTGCCATTGACGAACCAAGACTCACCGGAATGGGCCAGATTATCACCAGTACCACTGTCAAGCCACCAGCCCAGATATACGCAAACCTAGCTGCGTTATCCAGCCTCTTCGGGTCAGTTTCTTTCTCGTCCAGAATGTGCTCCTCGCTGGGGGTATCCGTCAATTGCTTCAAATTCTTTGTACTTTCCCAGTCAAAGTCATCAGGATTGTAAAGAGATACCGCTGTTGATACTATGCCCGAGATAATAAGGGAAGCTCTGAAGTATCAAGCGGTCAGTGTCGAGCACCCAGAAGAACGACCAAAAGTCGGAGCACACATACAGATTGCCAGCAAGCATTGGGTAGTTGCCTCCAGTAGTGTCAATGTTGATCTCTCCGTAGTATGCTTTTGTAACTATAAGCCAAAGAGAGACTCCGCAAACAAATCCGGTAACGGCACCCGCAATGGCTCCTGTTGCCGTCTGTTTTCTCCAGGTCAGCGTAAATGCAATGGGGAAAACTGGAAGAAAAGGGTGAGCGCGCCATGTCCGAAATAAATCATCCAGTACCTCCACTCACCTGCGGGAGAGAGAAGGACCCCCATCAACAGGTACAAGTATCCCAGGCTAACACCGATTTCGTTCAAAACGATCGCGAGAATACCCATAAAGCACCCAAACCCGACGGTGGTGATGTGCGCCATCTTGATGATATCTTTGCTGGTTGCGCTCGGTTTGATGTACGTTTTGTAGATGTCGTAAGTGCTTGTGGCCAAAGAGAGGTTAGATGGCAGAATGAAAGTGTGGAGACTACAAATGTGCTGGCTTACCAAATGGAGCTAACAGCGACCAACTCGGCCGAGGCTGCCGAAGTAACGGCCATGAAAATAAGAATGAGAATAGCGGCAGCTCCGGATGTACCAAGAAGGGCCACAGCTGTGGGTGAAGGAAAGAACAAGTCTAAGTAAGAAGATACGGAACTGGTGAATTTTTGTAAACCCACCTGCAGCTGGAGCTACGAGCCCGGCGTGAACATCAGCGATGAGGAGTCTCTCGGGATACGTCGGAAAGATGGGGTTGGACTCTAGAGCTACCGCGGCCAAACCGAGTGTTGTTGCAAGGAAGAATGGGATTGCTAAAGTAGATAAAAGCGTGAGCCTCCAGGCACGATATAGAGACGGAACATGAGATGCCTTACCAAACCAGGCCAATCCACCGACAAGGTATGCCTTGACAGTAGAGCTGGGTCGGGCTGCGATGGCTCGCTGCCAGTAAGCCTATGTGACAAAATCGTGAGCCACGCAGAATTGAACAGGAATATTATGAACCCACGATGCAATACCTGGTCAACAAACACAGTGCCGAAATTTCCAACGATGTTGATCAATCTGAAAATGGGCAGCACCAATGTGAGTTCGCCATTGGGACACACTTTTAACGGTTCAAATCGCTCGCTTACCCAAAGATCAGTCCTTGCAGCGATGTCATGGTCAAGTCTGGTATCAAAGGTCATCAGTCGAGTCCTTATTTCAAGTTGTTTAAATATTTGTCATCACTCACATTGACCATCTTCGTTATCCGGAACAGGAGCACGAATAGCAGCAGCTTTGAGTAAATCGAACATCTTCCCGGGAGATCCAATATACTCGCTTGTTGCATAAACCGTGAAGCCAAACACCAGAATAATTATGTAGATGACTGCGGTGTGCGAATAATCGGTCAAGAATGTGGCCTGCAAAGAAAGAGATGATCAGAAATGTATGAAGGAGATTTAGACAGTAGATACTACCTTGAGCCCACCGAATGCGACGTACGCAATCACACCCAGTGGAATGAGCATACACGCAGCATAGATGTTCATGCCAGTGAGTTGAGTAACAACCGCGGAGCCTATCATCCCAGTATGAAATTAGCTGTGTGTTGGAGCCATACAGCGCAGAATATAACAGTTACCTCCAAGCAGAAGCATTGCAGTGACAACCAAGTTACAAGCCTGTAGTGTCACCTATTAGTAGGTCCCCTTAAACTGTAACCAAAAGACCTCGCAACATACCAGCCCAAAGAGGATGAAAACAATATGTGCAGTTTTGCCTTTTGATGATAAGCCTTCGTCAGAGGAGATCACACAAGTGTTGACAGACATTGCATCAGTCCTACCATAGCGGGCATTCACAATCTCCAAGAAGGTGTGCGCATTCGGTGCTACGCGTTTAACTTGGATGGCCTGGAGAACAAAAGATGACCAGTTCAGTCGCATGTGGAGTTTTCCCCTCATGTATTGGCACCTACCAGAATTGCGAATAAAAGAACTTGAATAGTTGCTCCGGCCGCGTACCAGAAGGGTCCGGAAATGCCGTATCTTGACAAGCATGATGAGTATGTTTTCGGTGTATGCATTTGTACGCCTCAAGCGTGCTACTTACTGGTATGCAACACTAGAACTTTGCAAAAGGGTAGCAGCCCAGGTCCAGGAACTAACAACCGCACAGGCAACCAGGCCTGTTTTCATGGATCTTCCGGCGGTCGCAAACATCTCAGATGTCTGCTCTTCTTGCATGTAACGTTTGAGCAAGTACGTAATGAGGGTAATTAAAAGCGAAAAAAAGACGCCGAAGCCCAGGACAACCGCCCAGCCGGCTCCTTGCGGTAAGACAGCCATGGAGATCTGGGATATGAACAGAGGATGAAGCTAGAAAGGCTAGTCGGAAGCGTGAAGGTAAGAGTTGGAGGAGCAGAGTGGGGCATCTTGAAAGTCCCGCCGAATTTAAAAGAACTGAGGGCAATAACTCAAAGCAGATTAAGACCCGGGCGGAAACCGCCGGATCAGCTGCAAAAGCAGGAGTTACTGAGGTTCTTGCTCCCAACAATGCCCGTGTTCGTTGGACAGGTTTCACGGAACCCTTTGCCATTTCCTTTCAAGGTTTTCTTTGCAGATGAACAGAGCTTATCAGAGTCGAGATACGAACCCCGCCTACCTCCTTCCCCACTCACGCGATCAGGTTGACGTTCGACAAGCGGAGCATTTTCACATGTCTCGTGTGGAGGCAATCTTATCACAAATTCCAAGAGATCGCCATCGCGAACCCGGATATATGTTGGCCAATATTTTGGATTTTCGATAAGATTATAAAGTTACACAAATGTTGATAGATAAAGCCTTATCCTGCGCGTTTCATTAATTCCTTTGGATCTACAGGGGCTTTTACTTTCTGGTCATGGTATTACTTTAGATTATCTGCCACTTTAACAACCTAAAAAACACGGGAACAACTCATTTGTTGTAGTACGCTAGATTGTCTGGAAAGCTCACCATCGTCCAACGTACCCGAACGAACCAATGACAAGCCAATGGCTGTTCTGACGTTTGGTTTGGGCTACTGGGGTTGTTCATGCATCATGCATTTCCTGCTTTTGTTCTACCATTGAAACAGAAGGAGCTAGAGAATTAGAGAGTCTATGCAGAATTTCTTTTTCGCAGGTCGAAATTTATATCAATCCCACCGTAATGCAACTGAAATAACTATTGCATAAAGGCCAAGTAATATAGATATCCTGTATTGTGAGAGCATAAAGGCCCAGTAACATAGATATCCTGTTCTGTGAGATTGTACTGGAAATACACTTTGTGGTGGGTTAGGCGGCAGTTAAAGCAGTAGAACCTATGTACTAGTCAGTTAATAGATATTTTAGTCCCCAAGCCACGGGTGGACTATTACCGATTAAGTAATCAAAAATGCAGCTGCTTTGGTTTGAGTTCAAACACTCAACAACGAGGAAGAACACTAGCACCATGTACACCACAGAGCCTACCTCTCTTCCGCCCCGAACAACGATACGAACCTTATCCATTGCCCGACATGCTGATATAGTGAATACTCCACATTGGAGGCAAAAAGAAGTTGCAGCCTTGCGGAACGGAATACGGGCCACCGTATACATGACAAATGGTGATCGTTATGTAGGAGAATGGAAGGATGGTTTAAAAGAGGGTTAGTGAGTGTTATATTTTGGTAGACAAGGAAGCGGAGATTTATTTACAAAATGCATAGGCAATGGAACGTACTGTTACGCAAGCACGGGGGCCGTATACGAAGGGGAGTGGGCAAGAGATCTTCGCAACGGATTTGGAACATACTCTGTTCCAGCATTGCCTCAACCTGTTCAAGGAAAAACAAAAAAACCATTGCTTCCTTCGTTGCCCACCCTAAAAACGCCGCCTCGGGCGCAATCTACCCCAGGTTCTCATACTGGCCCTCTCCGCAAAGTCTATGCCGGGTCCTGGCTTGATGACCTCCGGCACGGCCGTGGCACTTGTTTCTACGAGGACGGCTCGGTATATGACGGGATGTGGGAGGAGGACGTCCGGGAGGGTTGGGGACGCATGACGTACAAAAGTAGTGGCAGCGTCTATGAAGGAGAATGGCATGAGGGAATGCGGCATGGGCAAGGCGTATTGGTCTTGGGTATGTATCTGCAATTGCCTTCATTTCCAATTCTGTATTTTCCTCACTCTCAACCTGTGATAGCAAACGGAGACCGATACGAGGGAACTTTCCTCAACGACATGAAAGAGGGTCCTGGGCGATTTATTTATCGAACAAAGCGTCAATGTTATGAAGGTGAATGGGCATTGGACACGCCCAAGTGCGGGACGTTGCGGGACTTGCCCCCATTGGCTGGACCTGAGGGAATGGGCCCAAATGCTCGAAAGTGGTGGCCTATACCCGAGGTAAGCATTGCGGTGTGATAGCGAGACCGCTTTCGACATGTGGAGCTGTAAACTCACCCAGTTTTACACTATTGTTAGCTGAAATTGCAGGATCCTGCTGGTATTCTCGATCACGAACGCGAGGCTGTTCTGCAAGAACGTCTACAACGGATTATGGGAGAATCTTTGGAACATGATGGAGAAGCGGGTTGAATCATAGCCACATATTTGAGCTCCATTGACTTTCCGGTGCTTGGCACTAACGAACACATCGTGTGCATCAATGTAGCAGCATTATAGCTGTCTATGTAGAAATAAGCAACATAACCACTTGCAATTGTCAAAAGGTGTGCAATGCCATTGCGACCTTCGTAATACCTCCTCAAGAAAATGGGTTGTATTACTGACGGAACGGCTTTATCTTAGTGTGGAGGTGATTGAAAATGGCACTAGGACCCTTTATTATCCGGATTAATCCGGTTAATCATATCGCATAATCAGCACCCCCTCTATTGCTCAAAACGGTGTGGCATGTATTGTAATGTTCGCCAAACTGTGGTGTGGCATGCATGTAATGTTTTTTTTTTTAAACTGCAGTGAGGCGCATGCCAAAGGTCTATAAAAGGGGGGCCTTTTCCCTCTTTCCTCTTTACCCATCCTCGACTCGCAAAACATCTGCGCAACGCTCACGCAGCACTCTCAAGTCCATCATCATGAGAATGCCGCTCTGGTGCCGAGGACCTTGCCCTCCCGACAACAACAAACATAACCCCTTGCAAACGCTGCTACTACTATACTGCTACGATCGCAGGTATGCATTATCTTTGTATTTTCCCACGCGTATTCCCAGTCTAATTCCCATTACCTTAGTATCTGAACATCCTCCGACTAAAGAATTTCGGAAGGGCTTAGTAGGATTTCTCTCGTGTGGTGGGCTTAGTTACCCGGTTAGAACCAACCGTAATGTATTGCATGTGTAATTGGGCCTAGTGGTAGTTAGTGGAATCGTGCTGCTTTGCACGTACCCCAGTTCAACCCAGGCTGGAACCTGTAGCGAGTTAGGATAGGGGTGGGACTCGTTTGCAGGATAGGTTATGAAGGGTTGGACAGGCTGGCTAATTGTAAATTCGAACCGGCTGTAGTGGGTTGGAGGGAGCATTTGTCCCTAGTGACATTTTCTACCACCTGCACACTATCGTAAAAGGCAGCATCTCATAAGCTTGTACAGCCCATCTTGATAAATTACAATTAACGAGTTTTTGAATGATCTTCATATTCCACGCAGCACCATAGCGCAGAGGAAGCGCGCAGGGCTCATAACCCTGAGGCCCCTGGATCGAAACCAGGTGGTGCTACTAGTTGGATATTATCGTGGCAATTTTTTTTTCACTGTCCACTACATTGGAGGCATTAACGCGCGCTAATGTACACCATATTTCTTTGGACTGTACCATAATCCTTGAACTAATGCGCTGAATTACTCTCTTTACCACACGAACGAGCATAAACAAAAACTCGACATGCAGGAATAATACTGTTGATATGACACTACGGCTAATGAAATGTTTCCCTAGAACTGGTTCTTATTCTGCTTATGGAAGTTGTGATTCTGGTTGGATTTCTTCGAGTTATTGTTGTTGAAAGCTATGGAGCTGCTGGTTAATATCCGTATGAGACCATGCCAGATATGCACTAGGACATACCATTTGTGTTTGACAGGTTCTTGTGGTCCTTTTTGATTGAGTTATCCTGGTTCTTCTTGTGCAGCACGTCATTGTTGTTATTCGCTCTGAGATGATCCTTTTTGAGATTGTTCTGGTTGAAGTTGTTCTGGTTGTTGTTATTCTGGAAAGCCGAATTCTTTTGATCCTTCTTATTCTGGTTGTTGATGATTTGAGGGCCCCACCATCCGCCAGCAACTTCAACCTGTTCATTTTCGACCTCGGCAGCTTCAGCATCGTAACCGTAACCGCCGTAGGGATAGCCGTAGCCACCGTAACCACTAAACTTCTTGCCTTTACCGCCGTAGCCATAGCCATAACCGCCAGCAGCTTCAACCTCCTCGTTCTCTAGATCCGCAGCTTCAACATCGAACTTCTTGCCGTAACCGTAACCGCCGTAGGGATAGCCGTAACCACCGTAACCACCATAACCACCAAATTTCTTGCCTTTGCCGCCGTAACCCAAGCCATAACCGCCATAACCGCCCGCAACTTCTACCTCCTCTTCTTTGACATCCGCAGCTTCAACTTCGAATTTCTTGTTTTGCTTGTTGAAATGATTATTGTTGTTAACATTTTTCTTATTGCTGTTCTGGTTGTTTGCATTTTGATTGTTTTTATTCTGTAATGACGGGGAATCATGCGATAAATTAAATTCTGGCCCCAAACGATGAAAATCACAGCGTACACACCAAATGATCTTTTTTGATTGAGTTATTCTGGTTCTTCTTGTGCAGTACATTGTTGTTGTTGTTCGCTCTGAGATGATCCTTTTTGAGATTGTTCTGGTTGAAGTTGTTCTGGTTGTTGTTGTTCAGGAAAGCTGAATTTTTTTGATCCTTCTTATTCTGGTTGTTGATGATTTGAGGCCCCCACCATCCGCCAGCCGCTTGGACCTCTTCCTCTACAGCCTTAAACGATGAATGAAGGATGATGAGCAAGACGACAGGATGGGCCAAGGGACAGCCGCTGTAATCGACGGTGCAAGCATACCAAGTCTTGGGGCGCCGGAGCCGCGAGAGTAGGCGCAAAGAACAAGGCTGGAGCAATGCCGGCAGCAAGAAGATAGATGGTTTTCATGTTGGCGGATAAGCTGATGTATAGTAGGCTTTTGAATGGTAAGCGTAGAGCAAGTTGATGACAACGGATAACTGGGTAGATGGGGCCCAACATGACGATCCCATTTTATAGACAAAATTTGTATTCACTGTAGAGGAAGAACTCAGAGGATGGGAACTGGTAGGGATTGGGAAGATAGAGAGGTTTCAAACTTAAAAATTCAAAAAGGTTAACCTTAAAAGTCATCACCAGTCTTCAGTATCATACATTCATCCCTGAGACATTGAAATTGCGAGTGTTCATGCCGCCTCCACTGCAGTGAAGTTCAACGACGCTTTCACCTGACCAACGATAATGGCTTGGGAGGTTGTTTCTAGCGGATCACCCCTTTTTGAGCCTGACGAGTAGCGCTTACAGCTACATAGTCATCATCTGAACATGTCGATGGAACCTTGGCATGTCGCTCATAAGGTTTACGCAAGGACACGATAGACCCTCTGACGTACACATCCTTTCTGGTGCCAACGTTTTCTTGTTTTCCATGAATACTCTCAACCTGGATTTACCCATTTCGAGCAAGACGTTGAAATAGACAGCACTATGAGATGGGCTACAAGGGAGCTATCTGGTGCGTCTACGCTACAGGCTGGCTATCAGACGGGTAAGGCAACCTTTACGAAACTTGAAATGCGCTTCAGATCATGCCAATATATCGCAATTTTCGTTTCGGAAAGGATAATAGCTGAAAGAGAATGGATAAGGGCAAATATATTTACAGAGACTAACTGGGCAACATACCATCATTCACAATGTAGGTGGGATTCCTGTATCCAGCCATAGCTACTGTTCCTCGACCATGATAAGCTCGCGCTGTTTGAAATTCTGGATCTTTCAGAGCTGGCAAAAATATTTTGGAAGCGTCATCATTGAGTTCAGTGCCGTCCTCGGCCAGATCGTCTCCGATCCTGGAATCGCCTATCCAAGGTATACCGGTCCCATCACCCAGATTTACGCGACAGCTCACTTCGCCCCGAGGCACATTGACGTCGCCAGTAATTTTGTAAAAGACGAGGTGAATGTCTTGTACAGAGGCGTCCAGCGCATTTGCAACCCACTCGTACCGCAGCAGAACATATTCAATTCCGTGTGACCCATAAGTACCAGCCCAAATTCCTTCCAAAGGTTTTATCACCATATTTGACGGCGCTATCGCGCTCTTGTGATTCGCGTCGAGCTTAATTTGACTCCATATTGTCTGATATCTTCCCGTTTTAAATCGCAGTTCACCTTCGGGGGCTCGAAGGGTCACAGTCCGGACGCCATACTCATGGCATTTGAGAGGGCAATGAATCGTTAAAGTATTTGCTGGCATTTCCCAGGAGGCATCCTCGAGCTCGCCATTTGTCTGAAGTAACGGGTTGAACGCGAGAGGCGGCTCGTTAGAATCAAACATGGTAATCAGAGTGCCTTCCGCACGGAGGACACGCGAATTCTCCGGGTACGGCCATAAGCCTGTGGATGGGGATGGTCGGAAATATGGGAAATGATCTGAAGACATATGTGGATTAAACAGTAGAAGACGGGCTAGAACTGTGTCCGATTAAATCCATGCTATGGAAGTTACCTTGGCATAGCTGATAACTACGGAAAGTTTCCTGTCCATCATCGACAACACTCATATGTTTCCGCAGTGTTGTAGATTGTGCTCTGTTCCCAAAACATATCGTATAGCTCGAGATTCCCTCTTGATCGTACGCGGATCCAATAGCATCCTCGGTATTTTCGAGAGGGGCACTCGTTCTTCGGCGCCTTCTCGATACTTGTTCAGGGCCGTCAAAGGATGGGGAGACACGGTGGAGCCCTTCACCGCACGGCTCAAAGCATATCTCGAATACCCTCGTACGACTCAATGATAGCTGTAAACTGTCAACTGATACCCCTTGGATCGCTCCAAATTGTTGCTCTGAGATTGGAGATATGTTGGTGGCAGAGAGATTTTCTCCAATGATACTAGCATCAGTAGGATTGATACGAACTTGAAGAAGTTGACCGGTGAAGAATGGGTAATTGGCCTGTTGTCGTCGACTTCCTCAAAATTGGATCTATAAACCATTTTCAATGACGCTGTCTTACCTGCCAGAGCCCTAGCATCCAGCCATAGCGGGCTAATACACCGACATAAAACCCCCTAATAGTTCGATACGGAAAAACATGCAAGTGTGTCTTTGCCTCGACTTTGTAGTTGACGAGGCACAAGCGTTGCCATAAAGTATCGTCGTTGGCAGCGGAATACAAGGTCCTAGAGACGGCCGATACAGTCGCGAGCTGCGACGCAGAAAGGAAGGAGAGGAGGTGAATGAGACATTCGCAAGGTAGGGCAGTCAGTGAATTAGGATGTGAAGAATTCAACATGGTGGTTATGGGTGCTCATGACGCGTGCAGGAATGACTTACACAAGGCAATTGACACCGCCTGAAAATAAACAAGCACTGGGAGGGATAAGTTACGATGAGGTTATCTCAACCAAACAAATCGAAAGCTGCCTTGGACGGAGAGTGCGTTGCAAGCTGTTGTGCACTTTTTGACGAAGCTGCATATATTGATTTTCTCTGGCATCTTTTGTATCAATATTTAGAATGTCGTCTTCCTTCATCAAATTGTGAACTCTCTCAAGTTAAACATATACAAGCGTCACTACTAACTAACACTACTTTTTTAAAACATGTACAGGACATAAATCACGTTTCTAGGTGAGGGACTCTTATAACCTACTCTTCATTTGGCTCTTCATTGTGATCATCTTCGACGGGACGCTCTTCTAGCTCCATGTCTCGACGGATTTTCTTTGGAGGCACCGGTCGCAAAGCGGCTCCACCCAGGTTCAGCACAAACGGAGGCGTTGGTGTTGGTGTTGGTGAAGCTGTGGTGCTGCTTACTTTTGCGGAGCTTGTTGTTGCAACAACAATCTTCTCTGATGTCCCAAACGTTGCCGTTCCAACCACTCCATAAGCCTTGCTCATATCCAACACATCATAGCAGACTGCAACTTGGACCCAACCCCCTGGTTGAACTGCGTTGTTTACGCCATTGATTGGTGTGGCTCGTAGATTGCCTCCTTGATTCTCTTGCCAAATATCCGCGACTGCGTTGGAGATCCACCAGACCTGACTATTGGTGAGGATGATATCGAGAGTCCAAATTGTGGATGGATACCAATAGGCAGCACTGGGATTGTGGGTGATGTTAAATGTTCCGCAAAAAATTCCGTTCCTGGCGTCTTGAAAGGTAAAGGCCATGGGAACTGTCACGGTAGATAACGGAGTAATGTTGGCGGGGAGGGATGTATCTATCGGGGCGAGGTCAGCAATGGCCGTCTCAGCGTAAAATCTTTCTATTAGCATTGGTACATACCACCGAGAACTTGTCTAGCAATTAAGCTTCTTGCTTGGCTGCTCCCCACTAGTAGAATAGCGGCGGCGACAAAGAACCACAATGCCATTATAGCTCTCGAGCTGCGAATTCGTGTAGATGTAATTATGGAGAGTGCTGGTGTCTGGCAAGGCTCGCGAGGAGAATGTCCGATTTGAATAGATTTCGTTCAGACACGAGAGTGCTAGAATTCCAAAAACCCTTAAGCATGATCAAACTTGAGGGTTTGACCCATCAGCAATCGCAAAATTAATGTACCATTCCTCTTTCGTCGCCTTTAACATGGCTTCCTTGGCCTCATCAGGGTCATTGACCAAGTGGTTTTCTTGGCCTCCATCCACACGAGGGTGTCGCCATCTGCCGTCTTCAAGATCGCAGATAATGGTGTCATGGATGGAGGTGATGTAGACGGCTCGGCGATACTGGTATCTTTTGGAGCCAGGGTTCGGACAAGGTCATCCCATTAGCGCATATACTGAGCCCCATCCATCCAAACACGTTGCCTTTTCCATTGGAGACAGCTAGTGGAATAGTCAGGCCTATTTCTAGGTGGGGCGAGTGCGACAGAGGCAACTTACTAGCCCCATATAGCCCCGTACAGTTCACCAAACGGCTCTTCATCTACAGCCGGTTCATGCAAGACGACGTCAAGCACTTGTGCGAAGGTGCTACCTTGACTTATCATCTGCAAGGATCCACATTAGAGATGGGCTCGCACCATGACACACGAATGTATTTATCATCTCTAAGCGTGATAAGAAATCGCAAAAATTCGGAAAAGACATGGACTTCATCGATGAAGGTTTCTGGGGTATTTCAGCAGAAGACTATCCAGCTACAAAGGCACAAAATCGTGGCCATATACAAATGTGAACTATGTTCATTTCACCTTTCATTCATATTCTCATCATAGTGAGACTGCCAAACCACTATCACCATTTTCTTATCTCTCTGTCCTTCTTTCTTTACCAGTGTCGGGAATGTCTCTCTGGGACCTTGGGTCAAGATAGTAGCAAAGGAGTTGCATGCAGAAAGCAAAATATGGAACGATGGTAGATGGCCTTTGTCTTCAAATTTTGAATGGATCAGATACCTAGCTAGAAAGCGTAACCCAACAGACTTACAGCCGTGATCGATAGTTTTATGAACCTGTTTGGTGGGGTTGATAATTTTGCCAAGCTTTGATCAATCCAAAATTCCAACACAATCGCTGTAAGTTCTCACCAAGCTAATACTAATGCATGAAGGTACCCATATAACATGAAAGCTAGGTGACCTGATTGGTACTAGAGGAATGGGTTACGCTGTGATAGTCCTCTACTCGATAGAGAGATGGCATTTATACTACCTGTAACCTGAAACATTGTTAGCATGCAATGGAAAAGCGTGCCAGACTAAATACTTTTGCGCGCATTGTTAGTATGGAACTTTGGATACTGTAGCCATCGATATCAAGAATTCACAAAGTGACAGTATGGCTTCACACAAGAGCAAACATTGACCGGTGACATGACGGCTCTTGATACCTGTCCTGGGCACGACAATGAACTCATTATCCCTCACGGCAAAAGGCAAAATGTATTGTAATACAAGACTTGGATCTATTTACTCTAGCATTTCTCCAACCTTCATGGAGCTGTAGCCGTTTGCAGTGTTTCTGAATTTCCAGGAAATATTAGATATGGCGATGGCGGAGTGTCGCCTAGCTTTGCTGGATGTAGCCACGCTTTTGCACGTTTGTAGCTAGTATTCTCGATTTTGCTTAAATACATCCGTGATCACAGAAACACTTTCAAAATAGTGCAAAGAGGCCAACGCCATGCGACGATCAGCATCACTGAAAGAAGAAGAGAGACTAAAGCCTTGAATTCAAATATTGTCTGCTCATGACCATGCAGGCCACTCCCAAGAATGCACCAACACTTGTCTGTACTTTGGCCCCACGTCAACAGCTGCGTCCAGCCCAGCTTGAAAACGAGATGCTGACAGCAGAAGGAATCACGTGCGTCCCTGGGGGCCACAAAAGCGGCCAAACTGTGCCAGCTGTGCCACATGCGCGTTCATTCTAAAATTTGGAATCGAAGGGAGACAAATTCTGCGGCCCTGCGGAAAAGGAGCTTGTCGTCTGTGGGGGAAAGGTTGTTCCGGGGAGGCATTCCCAATCTGCTCGCCTTCGTCTTTCATCCCCGACTCTCAGTGTTACTGACAGCAGGAAGAAAGATGCTCGCACGAATCCTATCAACCGCGTTTGTCCTTCTTCCGCTGGTCACAGCGCAGACTCCAATTAATATTCCTGCTCCCGTTGAAGGGGATCCCGCAACACAGCCTGCCAACGATCCTACATATGCTTGCCCGGCGACTTGTGTGCCTCCCGCTTGCGTTTGCGCATCCACAAAGATTCCTGGTGGTTTGAGCGTAGAGCAGACGCCCATGTTTGTTACTCTCACTGCAGACGATGCCATTCAAGATCCGACCTACGAGCCCTTTAGCCAGGTTTTGAACTCTACGGTGAATCCAAATGGATGTAATCTTCCCTTTACGTACTTTGTCAGTACCGCCTGGACCAATTTCTGGCTGATTACGAGGGCATATAATCTGGGACATGAAATCGGTGCTCATACTATCAATCACCCTGGTAATGCGTATAGCGCTTTGACGTCCAAAAAAGTACCCTCACTGATAAGTTTCCAGATCTCACAACTGTGTCAGCCACAGTGCGTGACCAAGAGATCCAAGGTTCTGCGCAAGCGGTCATGACCTATGGCGGGATTCCGAAGAGCGACCTTGCAGGGTTCCGTCATCCGTTCTTGGCATTCAACAAAGACTCATTTGACTCTGTTGCCAAGGCTGGGTTCAAGTATGATTCGTCAGTTACCCTAGATCCTTTGACCCAGCCTTATTGGCCACACACGCTGGATTACGGCTTCGCCTACTACCCGCAACCATGCATCAAATGCCCGTAAGTCTAGGCTGTCCCTTAACAGCAGGGGATCAAAACTCATGAAAACTGTTTTCTCTCTGTCAAGTTCCGGGCCTTCTATGCAATACAAGGGAATGTGGGAGATCCCAATGTACAATTTGCTCACTAATGACTCAAAGCTCTGGTCTAGTATGGATCCTATCATCAATCCCCAGGTGAGTGTGAGACCACTAGACAGGCTATCGGAAATTGAAAACATCTAATTTACATCTTATTCCCTTCAGCTTAACGACTATGACGTGGCATTGTCCAATATCAAGGCCACTTTCCAAGTGCACTACAAAACGAAACTTCCCTTCGGCCTCTACCAGCATTTAGCGCAACTGGTAGCGTGGGGACCAGAGGTGGAGGTCAAAAAGGTTCAACTCCTCAAAGATTTTGTGGCGTGGACTCAGAAAGAGTTCAAAGACGTTTGGTATGTCACCAATCAACAGTTGATCTCATGGATCCAAAAGCCAGTGCCTGCCGATCAGATGCGAACGTTTCTCCCGTGTCGTCCACCCGCAGTGGACAAAGCGAATAAAGAGATCTGTGACGGTATTGATAACGATGGCGATGGAATCATTGACAATGGCGTAGTCGAAACCTGTCAAGTGACCGAGGAAGTTAGTTTCCAAAGTTGCTACGGATGCCCGACACTCGTTCCCAATATCACACAACCGGTTCCACCGCAGAAGGGAAATGCTACAAGGAAGCCTGCGCCCGATGCAGCGTGTCCAAATGCTGGGACTTGGGATCCCATTGCGGGCGCTTGCATCACTTTAACAAGGCCACAGGTCAAAATTCCTGATAGCAATGCGTCTGGGTCAAAACCTAGCGGTACCAATGGAGATCAGTCGAAGGGAAGTGGGACAGTGGCAGGTGCCAAGGTAGCCAAGACGTCTGTATTTGGTGCGACCCTCCTCTTAGTGGCAGTTTTGAGTGCCTAGCGTTATCCTTCCTCGTTGAATACTGGTCATCTTCTATGCATCCTAATCTATGTAGTATAAAGTTTAATGTAAAAGTGTACAGTTCTAGTTCTATGAGCCCGCTACACTCTTCTATCCAGGGCTTCTGCATCCCACCTCTTCCTCTGGGATGCTGGGGAATAACTCGATGAAGCAATGCATGGCTTGGGCGAACTACAAGTGCTGTAAGCCAACTACAGTCGTGGTTCCAGCAGCTGTTCCATGCTGTCGGGGAAGCGGACATTTTGCTATTGCTTCCTTCCATGCTTTGTGAAGAAGATCCATGCTATCATGTAGTCGATCTCCAATACTGCAGTCGTCTTAGAAGCTGGGCGACATTGGAGCCAATAGCTGCCGATTATCATCTGCAGGCTCCCCGCCTACACTTTTGCGCACTTGTAGCTAGACTGGTCTTCTGCTTAAATACATCCAGCTGCTCGCTCTATTATCAGCAATGCAACACTTCCAATTTCTCTTGGTACTTGTTCCTTCCCATCTACCCTCCACGCTTCGCCCCATCCTCCAAACCTGCGCTTATCTACAATCCTGCACCGCAGATTCCATTTTTCTAGTAAAGGCTGAACCGTTCGCCGCGAGCTCCGTTCCTGATATGCAGTGATAAACTTGGCGGATGGTCGGCTTTGTGAGAGAATATATGCCACGCTGGCAATGAGATCGTCAAAGTCCCGAGGTTCGTAAAACACGTCGGCACCAAGAATGAAATCAAACAGGTAAGAAGGATCCGACAACGGCGGGAACTTGCCCCATTTCAACCCGATTACACTACATACATCATCCACTTGATTAGCATGCACTGCATGCTGTGCATTCTTTAGTAGATGCTCTGCATCCGGTAAATCTGATAGTACGACACGTTTAGCACCCAGCTTCGCCGCCAAGAGACCAGGTAGAGCTGTGCCGCATCCGACTTCCAGAACTTGCTTGTTGAAAAATCGGCCTGCATTCCAGTATACAAATGCAGAAAGAACTAACGCAGAGGGCCAAAGGTAACTACCATAATCTGGATCTAGTAGCTCATGTAAGATAACTTGTACGGGCTGCTGCTCAACGGAAGTTCCTGTGCTCTTCAGAAAAGTGACATTCCGCGAATGCCCGGTGCCAGCGCCTGCGAGATGATTTGCCGTTTCCCCTGTATATCGTGGCTCTTCATCTGAGGATGAGCCGTAGTCGGGAGGCACCAAGGACATCTCGGACACGAGGAGATCTAGGACGTTGAGTGATTGAAGTGCGTCGTCTACCCTGTCTACATGGTAATTGGGGTTAGGTAAGGACCAGTGTCACGTGTGTGTTCCAACCTTCACCCTCCGATCAACCTTTGGCAAAAACCAAGCGTCGGCCTTCCACAAGAGATCTTTGGCGTAACGTCTATGTTATGTAGCGGATACATGTCGCATGGTATATCTTGATCCTACTGCTAATGGCATTAGTTCCCGGTATATAGTCAAGCCAATGGAGCATGACATCATGTTACCGCGACCGGAACCGCCTGCACCACATCCGCATCCAGCATTGGAGTCCCATAACAGATACGGAAGCGCCATACAAAATTTAAACGCAGGCGCACCAGCTCCAGTTAGTTCAACAGTACGCGCTCGAGCGATGCAATTGCAGTTGCAACGAACAGATGCACGAGCGATGAGGAATGGTCGAGTGAGGGTCGCCGCAGGTAGCGCTACAAAGACAACCGGGAAAAGTGGAGGCGGACCTGTTTCAGTTGAAGATGGAGGAAAAGCTCCTTTTGTAGTGCAATCCGCGACCATGAGAATGAGTTTGAATGAAGAGACGCCTTTCCCTCCACGCGTCGACAGGAAGACTTCGTCGGTGAACGCGGTCCGCGTACCGTACCAAGGGCGTAATATTGCGACAAATTACAAGTTTGTTCCACCTGCCGCTGCTAAATACTATCTATGGTGTGTGCAAGCATGTTGGGAACGGTTTGCCGGAGATGAAACTCAAGAACTTCTTGAATAGGGACACTACAAGTGTAGGCCCGACGCATCTTCTCACTTCCGATCAGCTTTGTCCAGACAACATTCGCCTGCAAACTACAGCTATTCGCGCAAGTCTGTCTTTAGATCGCCCGCCGGTTGCAACAACATGGCAAGGAGTAATGTTGCAGGGCTTCTTCATCGGTCGCTACGTACCGCTGCAGTCGAGTGTTATCTTAGAATCTGTGCACCAGTTGAGTACCAAGGCGCTCGTGCTGGATAGATTTGACGCTGGACGAAGGTCCTCGCATACAGAAGTTGGATTAGAGCCTACATTTGTTACCGGTGGAGATGCTGTAGTTACAGTGAGTTGATCAGCTGCAACTTGGTGCAATACTGCACTGCAAACGTCTTATGATATCTTTTTACGGCTCAAGGTTCTCCGACGAGTGCATGATGACAAAGAAATGATGTCACAGGAGACAGGATGCTGGTCATCGATGGAGTATGGATATGTTTTCAACGTGCGTCGGGAGGCATTGATAGACTACATGCCGATGATTAACCGGCACTTACGAAATTGCTAGACTTTGCGAGAGCGCCTTAAGCGGCTAGATGACTGCGCTAACTTGGATATCGCTACTGTGGTTCTCAGTATGGATCTGGACAAGTCATTCCAACTCCAAGGATTAAAATGTGAATGGAGTGTGATCTTTTGCCAACACATTTAGCGAGTACTTATGCTCATGTGAACAAGGCCAGGCGCTAATTCCCGATGTGATCCTCCGCGCACACCTGATCAATCCTTTGATGATTGTGCCCACAACTTTGACAACGGATCTGTTGAAGCCACTGTCTGTAGCGGGAGAACAGGTTGATTCTGGGTAGGCATCTGCTGCTACCAACACATCAGAGTCTGTTACTGAACGATGGTTCACACCAGCTATGTCGCCATTGACCAAGCGCGTCATGTACTCACCCTTACCTGCAATGATCCTATGGCAACATCGCTGCCTTTAGCCGGAATGTGAGTGGACAGAAGTCGTATTTCGTATGCTTCGATAACTGATGGAAATGTGACAGTTGGGTGAAAGGCGCGCGACATATCCGAGACCCGAGTGTACAATGTGCTTGCATTCGGTATATATGGAATTCAGTCATCAAGAAGTTGGATATGGGTAAATCGCAAGTGTTAGTCATCATATTCCAAAATTTCACATCTGGAACACCCCAGTTTTATGAATGCAATTATGAGGTGAGAATGGTTGTTGGCGCCCACTCTTCCGTTGATTGCTGACCAGCTCAAAGATCAGCGAAATTCCATTCGCTCTCTACGAAGCGTCGTTACCAGTCCCGAAAGATGAGCACAAAGGAGACCTGAAAGCATGGCAGGACGTGCTTTCAGTCAATAATGGATTTGAGCTTAAGAAGGTCAACATTCGCGAATACTCTGGCGCTTGTGAAGCTATTGAAAGCGTTTTTGACATGTGAGCAGGCTTGGTAACTGGCAAAGGAGCTAGTTTGAAATGAACCTGATCGTATTGTTACTATCAGCCCAGTTGCAAAACGCCAAGTATCGAGTTTATCTCCACCCGCGGCGGTCGTTAAATCATCAGCCTCGCCATTACGTGTTGCGGATGACAAGAATGTGGCTGACATTGCGATCACCGTCGACACCAATGCTTCTATTCCCTGGTCATCAACAGACGACGCCAATGCTTCGGCTCCCTCTTCATCAACAGACCAGGCAGAAGACAGAGCGTCATTCTGTGATGATCCTGGACAGAGCGTACGGGTGGATCAGGAACCGAAGACAACCGCAGTATCTGTTCCACGTCAGGGCGACACAACTCAAACAAATGACAATGAGGACGTCGTTGTTAACGCCGTGTCAGAGCAGCAACAGTCGTATCTCAAGTTCCTCCAGCTGCAATTAGACATGCTTAAAATGCAAATGTCAGGCAAACAGGCTGCGAGCTCCTCCAAGCTGCAGTTTTGGCCGATGATCCCGATGTTTCCTTCCCCAGTCATGTTGACGACGTCAACGTCGTCTGATCCTGTTACTAGACGTACGGACGCTCGTATAGGTACGGGATGCGATGCAGCAACGAACACGACGGTATATGTCGGGCATGACGATGTGCAGGCTCCGTTCTCGTCCAAAGAGGTCGGTGAACTATCGTATGATCTCAAGTCTGTTAGTATCCGCTGCTAAGATATCCGGCTTCCTTTGATAGTCCCAGCAAGCAGCTGAAAACAAGGAAACACAAATTCATGCAGTCTCTGAGAAGGCGGATTCCTCACCTCCCACCCGCCGAAAATCAAACAACGCACCAGCGGTGACACCCACGCTTGGAACTACTGATCTGGAATCAGTATTAAAGCGTATTAATCAGACTGATATCGAGCGAACATACCATTTACCTGCGGACACGGGTAGTAACTACGAGGCTTTCTTCCAGTATGACCCGATTACAGATGAGGAAGAAAAACAGACTCAGGAGGACATTGTCCCCGGGCACATGGATATTGAACAGGATGGCAATGAAATTGCAATTAAATCATCATTAATTCAAGGGCGTAGCGAATCTATCAAAAGACCAACATCAACTGATGAAACAAAATCTCCGCCTACTGCGGACGGTCATTGCATGAGATCAGAAATCCGGGAAGTGACCGAAGGACGGACCCCCGTCGGAACGTTACTACGACGAGTAGCGGAGGTGCTAGAAAAGTCGCACGAGGATCCTCTACAAGATGACGTTGCCGTAAATGTGTCATCTGTGGAGGAGGTAGGAGAGGGCAAGACAGAATTGATACATAACAGGAGTGTCCATGGAGCAAAGGATATCATCGCACGGTTAGCGAGCCATCCAGAACAAAGCTTCATCGTCATGGCTGACCACGGTGATTTTCCCTGTGAAAATCTTGTGGAGCAGTCAGTTGTGCTCAATACACCAAGGAAACAGACCATAAGGTCTAGTCCAGCCGTGGATCGAAACGATGTTACCGCAATTGTCCGGAATTCGAAGCCTACACAGCTTACCGCTTCTCAAAACAAGAACGAGACAACCTTGTATCCCGTTATTGCATCGAAGGTAAAAATGTAGACAGCAGGCATTCCTGTCTAAGCACTAGCTGACATGCTTTCGGGTTGCCAGATGGAACCCATTTACAGAAAGAATCCGAGAAGCCCCTTAAAGATACTACAAAACTCAAATCTGAAGGCTGCCGAGTCCGACCCTGATACAACTTGTGAACAGTTCTCCCGCGCGACGCTCGAATATCTGCATAAGTACGGACTGCTGGATGCAGAAGAAATCCCCGACGTTAGGGTGGCATTTCAGACTTTAAATACAAATCGTACGGATTTGCAAGATTCTGTAAGAGGAGACGGTGATGCTTACACGCGGATACTTGATATTACGCGAATTCAAACATTACCGAAACTGCATTGATTGGAGAAAACCTGGGGGTGCTTCGTCTAGTTACAATAGGCTAGATCTAGTCAAATGTAGCCTGCCTGCGCCGTCTATCCTACATAACATGATACTACAGACTTAAACTTAAAACAACCCAGAGACCCTTCCCGTCTCGGGATCCAAATCGACGTCGTAAAAGCATGGACGCTATGATCAAAAGCATCAGCATCCAGCATCTGTTAAACACAGATGGCTTCAAAAACATATGTACACGTACCGTAGGTAGACCCGGCATGGTTTGCATCTCTCCCAACAGAGGATACAAGAACCCAGCACCAACGGATGCTCGAATGTCTCGCACCGGAACCGTAAAGCCTGTGGAGTCATTATCAAAGTTTAGGTTTCGTTGGCCCATGATCTCAACACCAGCCGCAAGCCACGCATACCCATCGGAACGCCTTTCAACTTCGGATCGTGGGATAAACTGAGATGAGTCTTCGCCATGCAAATAGGCAGTTTGTCGAAACCCTAGAGTTAAATCCGTTTTAGCGCCTTTTGAGGAACCATGTCATACCGGCTAGCGATTGCCTACTTGTGACGTGTACAATTGAATTTTGCTTTTTGCTACGTCGCTCAACTCCACGCCATCGGCTCCGTACATTTCCTTCGCAATGGTTTCGATTTTGTCCACGATAGGGAGGTTTACATCATAAAGGTACTTGAACGAAGCACCGCCCTCGCGCTTTGATGTATTGCAAACATCCACTACTGCCTTGGCCAAGTCCAAAGCCCCAGCACCACCTCGCGCCCAATGGTCAGTTACAACGGCTGCTGACGCACCGGCTTCGATCGCCGCTCGTTTCACTGTGTCAAGTTCCGCCTGTGTATCGGAACTGGGTACAACAACAGAACGTGAGTTTGGTTGTTGAGGCCGTTTGCGCGCATAAAATAGCGCACCTGAATTTATTGATCGCCACAACAACGCTGATTCCAAACTTGCGCGCATTTTGGACGTGCTTTGCTAAGTTTGCACAGCCTTTGGCCACTAATCCAACGTCTTCCTGTGAGTACACGTCGCTGATGGGCTTGCCGGCCACGACCTCAGGACCCCCGCCATGCATCTTCAAGGCCTTCACTGTAGCGACGAGGACCACAGCATTGGGAACTAATCCGGAAGTCCTACACTTGATATCAAAAAACTTCTCCATGCCAATGTCGGCTCCAAAACCCGCTTCCGTCACAACATATCCGGGCTCGTCGTCATCTGCCAGTCCTGACGTACCGGCAAGTTTTAAAGCAATCCTATCAGCTAGGATCGATGAGTTACCGTGGGCAATATTAGCGAACGGTCCCGCATGCACAAACACAGGTGTTCCCTCCAGTGTTTGCATCAAGTTGGGTTTAATGGCATCTTTCATCAATACTGTCAGTGCCCCGCCCACACCCAGATCATCTGCCGTGACGGGCTCTCCGGCCATATTACTGGCAACAACCATGCGGCCGAGTCGCTCTCGCATATCCTTCAGATCGGTGGTCAACGCTAGCACAGCCATAATCTCGCTGGCAACAGCAATGTCAAAACCGGTTTCACGAGTACGCCCCTTTTCTTGAGGCCCCATGCCCACCATAATTTTCCGCAAGAAGCGATCGTTGGTATCCATCACACGTTGCCAGGTGATAGTCTCTGGGTTAATATCAAGCCTAGCAAAGCGACGCTTCTCCTCAGGCGTCAGGGTGTCAGGATCAGTTTCCTTGATACCTAATCGCTGCAGACGCCTAATCATAATATCGGAGAACTTCCGCACGCCCTTTTTCGCGGGGACAAGGCGATTGAACAACGTTTCGTCGTTAGGAGTAGTTGCTTCGTGGAACATCCGCGCATCTATTGCAGCAGCCAAAAGGTTGTTCGCCGCGGTTACGGCATGATTGTCGCCGGTCAAATGCAGATTGAACTCGTCCATGGGTATGACTTGAGAATATCCTCCACCTGCTGCACCTCCCTTAATTCCGAACGTAGGCCCTTGTGAGGGTTGTCTGACACATGCGAATGCTACTTTCTTGAGATTCGCTCCTAGGGCCTGGACTAGGCCAATACAGGTCGTTGATTTCCCTTCTCCCAAAGGGGTTGGTGTGATGCCGGTAATGACCACATAATTCGCATCCTGACGATGTTTGAGGCGATCCAATACGGTGAGGTTGACCTTCGCCTTGGTTGGACCGTACAGTTCGAACTCGGAAGGGAACAAGCCTAATTCCTCTGCCACAATTTTGATCGGCTTCGGCTTTTGTGCCATGGCAATATCGATATCGCTTGGAACGGGTGTTTTGAGATCCAGTTTTAGATACTGGGTAGGCCTTCTGTAGCCTTTGAGGGAGCGCTTTGCACTTAGAACGGTGTTGTACATCAGCATTGTCACAGTCATTGGTCCAACGCCGCCGGGAACGGGTGTAATCGCCGACGCTATTTGAGATGCAGATTCGAAATCAACGTCTCCCACCCAACGTATTCCAGATTTCTTCGTGGAGTCGGGAATGGGATTTGTTCCAACATCGATTATCACTACTCCGGGTTTTAGCCACGATCCCTTGACCATCTGAGGTCTGCCAATAGCAGTCACCAGTATATCAGCAGTCCGCACAATATCCTCTAAGTTCTGTGTCCTGGAGTGGCACACAGTTACAGTTGCGTTCTCGCCCTGAAGCAGATGAGCAAGCGGCATGCCGACAATATTACTCCTCCCAACCACTACTGCTTTCTTTCCATTGAGATCCACCCCTAGTAATATTCTCCTCATATCAGACAAATCGCATTGCAGTTGTAGAACTGCCTAAATTGCATACCAGCATGCCTCAAAAGCTCAATGCATCCTTTCGGCGTACAGGGTTCGAACAATGGCTCGTGATCCCTCTTCGCAAGCAGACCGATGTTGAGGGAGTGAAATCTGGCGCAAAAAGACATGAGCCAATGTATAAGTATGATCGCTGCAACGCAAGTAACAGTACCCATCGACATCCTTATGGTAATCAATCGCTTCCGTTACCAATTTCTCGTCCATACCATCGGGGAGGGGCAGTTGCACAAGTATGCCATGGACCCTGTAATCATCATTAAGGGCATGAACAACCGAAAGGAGCTGGAAAGAAGTCTTCGTGTTGATCGAGGATATCTTCAGTAGCGCTCTTAAATCATGAAGCCTACCTCTGCCTGCGAAACGGTAGCTTCCAATTTGTGATGGGTGAATTTCATCCCAATCTAGGACATGGATAAAGTCAGTCTTTGCCTCGCGTGATTATGCGACATTTGATGACGCAGATTCCAGCCAAGGTACCTTGAGAGCTGCCTGCTGCTTCTGTCTCACATACAAGCTCGAATCTTCACGGTCGCCAACCTGAATAATGGCTAGGTGCGGAATGAACCCGCCGTTATTCTCGGAGAGATCGGTCACCTCATCACGAAGCTTTGCACGAATGGACCTGGATATGTCTGCACTCGTTAGTTCATCGCCCACCGAACACGGGGCAGTTTCGAGTATAAATGAGGTACTGACTCTGCTAAGGCTTTCCCATCAATAATCTTTGCTCCAGCAGCCATGCTTCGTTTTATATGTTGCTGCTGTGGTATCGGCGCTAAAAAGTTACGTTTCGTGGTATGAGCAAAACTGGGGCGTGCAGGTGGGATTGACAATCGCGAAGTATGCGTAGTAGAACACCGCACTGTAGAGGCGGAACACGTCAACAAGCAGCGAGGTATCACTGAGAATTCAAGCGGTAAAGATCGTAGCAGGAATCGGATGTGCATAAAGCTCACCGTCTAGTAGTCAGCCCCAGAAAATGCCAACAAGGAGGTGATCGGTGTGACTCATCGAATATAAACAATACAGTCAGTACTTGTAGTTAGGTGAAACATAATGGCCATTTTATTGGTCGAAAGAAGCTGCCTTCTGTCCTCCTCGTTTCTTGTTGCACTCTTATTGTCCCACGTCCCTCATCAAAAACCTGGACCCAAAGTCCTCTGGTGGGTCAGTACACTCATCCCGAGAAGTTCTCAAAAAGTCGACTGCCGGCTGGCCCGTCCCTTTTCAAATCTCGAATAGCAGATGTCCGTGAAACCAGCGGATCATTGCAATGTCCATATTACCAATTGTGTTAGAGAGTCCTACCATCCTTACCTTGTTGCGCGCTTCTCTAAAACTTAAGTTCAGGATGGACCCTGTGTATCGACTGACGGAAGGGAGTCAGATTAGACTGTATAGAAGTGGCTAGCTTCACATTAGAACTTTCTAATTGATTAAGAAGCACTAAAGTGTTATAGATATAATGCTAGTCCTGAGCCAAATAACCTCCTCTACTACTTTCAGCCCGCACCTCCCATTCATTTTCAAGAAGCCAGTCAAGCGCTTTCTTTCGCGCACCCCAGGTTCCGTTCATCTCGCAATGACGCAAAAACGCCTGGATAAATGTGGCTAACAGCAGGTCCATTTCCAAAGGGTTGGATAGATTAGGTGATTTGGGGACATAGACGGGTTGCTCCGTTACGGGAAGCTCTTTGAACGAAGCAGGAAATACTATTTCGGTCACCCGCGTCTCACTTTGGTTGACGTTTGTCTGTTCGCACGGGGGGGCGGCAACACAGTCCAGCTGCTTATGCAGACCGCTCTTTTTGCTTGCTTTTGACTTCGTTTTGGCATCGACAAGAGTCCAAAGTGACAGAATAGCATCCCAATACTCCACCGCCCCCCATTCGAGCATAAACCTTTCCGCATCGGGTTTCGCCCGCGCTTTGTTGACTACGATGAAATCACGCTTCACATCTTTTACGTGGTGGAGATTCGACACTAGCGGCCAGAGGGCATACATGCCAAAGGTGAACGCCTCGCACGCTGTTAGGACTCGGTCAACTTTCCATGCGTCAAACTTCAGCGATGATATTGTTCCCTCGCCATCAGCGGTGTTAAGAGAATCAGTAAAATCAGGGTGAATAAGACCTTCCCGCCATAGGATTTGCAGTCCTTCGTCATTATCGGTTCTGCATGCGAATGCTTTGACGCTCATCTCGTGTATCCAACGTCTCAGTCCAGTCAGCCAGGTCCGAACTGCCCACCAGCCCTCTGCTGTGGCAAGACCACGAATGATTTGAACCGGCGCCCGCGGCGTAATTGGACACCCATCCTCTATCATATTCCGGATGACCTCCTTTGCCTCGCCATGCATGCGTGCTGCCATGAAATATCCAACCATCGTTTCATATATCAACGGGTTCGGTGAAGAATCCAGCTGCGAGAGTACTTTTCGGTATTGAGCATACACGGAACAGATGGCATTCCGGGAAGTTAAAAACTGCTCTGAATCCGGTGGTTCCCCTTTATGATTCACTATTTGTTCGTTCATCCCCTCTGTGTCCGTCAGACGTTCCTCCTCCCCAGATACAAACTTGTCAGCCAGCCTACGGACAAGTGCCTCGTATATCATCGAGGGAAGAACAACGCCCGTTTCTGTGGCTTCCACGAAGATTTCAAGCGCAGCCGCCACATCTTGCTGTGCAAGACAGGTTTTGATGAAAACTGCACCACTTTCCTCAGTTAATGTTATTCCGTCGATTTTCCTTGAAGCCATCCATTGCATTGCTCGGTCAAAATCGTTCTGAGCAGCAAAAGATCGCACTATAACCGCGTAGAGGAGAGCATCTGGAGACATCCCAGAGCTCTGCATGGCTTGAAACCATCGTGTGGCACCTTGTACATCATTTCCGCTTATGTGCGCATTTATGAGAGCAGTATAAGTGGCAACAGTGGGCTTCACACCGGCACTTAGCATTTCGGAAAAGAGCTGCCGACAGAGTTGTAACTCTCCTCGGCGGCCGTACGCATCCAACAAGCTTGTGTACGCATAGGCGCTTGGTTCGAGACTTGCCCCTTCATTGCCGGATTTCCATGCTGAAAGACCTTCATCGAACCAGCTCTTCGCTCCATCCACATCTCCTGCCTTGACATGCGCAGAAATAAGAGCGGCAAAAGTCCACCGGTCAGGCACAAGTCGCTGGTTAAGCATCGCGGTATAGAATTCGCGGACGTTGTTCAACCGTCCTGTTCTTCCGTATCCATTTATAAGGATATTATAAACGCCGACGTCGGGTTGAATCCCGTCTTCGTATAACCTGTTCAAAAGGCGGCCGACCTCTCTCATATGTCCTCGCTTTGCGTGAACACTCAGTAGCAGCGAGTAAAACACGAGGTCCGGCTTTACATTCATGTAACGAAGTAGTCGATGCACCTTGCCCGCCGAATTCACATCTCCTTTTTCCACATACCCCTTCAGCAGCAATGTGAATGTGCCTATGTTGGGTTTCTGGCCACATTTTACCATCGAATTGTACAGGTCCATAGCTCGATCCATCCGTCCACGATCACAAGCAAGCTTTATCAGCCGGTTAAATGTGCGTAAATTTGGTGGTCGCTTAGCACTAGAATCTCTATGGTTCTCATTCTTCTGTATTATCCCCAGTCGTTGATTCATAATCGCCCAATACTTCTCCGCCATTTTCAAGTCTCGGGCACGTTCATACACTTCGATCATGAGGACAAGTGTTACTTCAGTTACCGAAGTCTTTGTCTTCTTCATTTCTCTATACCATCTTTCGGCACCAGCGGGATCGCGCGCATGCACAAACGCCTCGATCACACCATTCCAACAACTGGAATCTGGTTTCATGGTATCACGCACCCGATCGAAGACGCGCAGAGCCCCTTTCACATCGTGATTGCGACCGAACGCTACAATGAGACGGCCCCAGTCCAGGGCATGTGGTTGTATCCCAAGAGCGACCATATCCTCCATAATCATACCAATGTCTTTGGAAGAAATATTTCCAGCACGCAAAAGCAAGCCGATCAGGGCGCGGAAATCTTTCAAGGTTAGGCTGCGAAGTAACGACCCGCATGCAGTCTCAGATCCAGAGGGTGAACGAAGATAGCAATAGTTGGCATGCAACCGAGCGGCTTCACGACTCAATGCATCCTCAAAAAAGGGGAGGAAGCGGGCCCGGCTCACTTCTTCGACTTCGCGGACAAAGGATGTCACAAGGGACTCGTGGTTGACAAGATATCTTGGATATGCAGTCTCCCCTTCTATACTTTGCGCTGACGCCGAGTGGGATGAGCGATACTTGATACTAAAGGAAGCTTCCCTCCGACAACCGTTGCATATGTTCACACGCGGTACCGCTACATATTGGCGCTGCGTTGAGCGAGGGAAGGCAGCGTACCCTGCGACCTGTTGAACGCTAGCATGCGCTGCAAAAGACAGTAGCGCTGCAAGGGCGGGCGACTGTGTACGAAGAGAGTTCGACAGTCTCAAGCATCGGTGAGCAAATGTGTGCTGTCGCAGATCCCGCTCATAGCGCATCCCTTGGTGGTCAGGCAGTTCCCAACTGCCTGAGGTTGGGTCTTTCCACTGTTGCCATGGCCACCAAGTCACAACTGGGCAGGCAGCCGTAAGTTGTAACTCAGTCAGAGTGAACAACAAGATGACTGCGTATGAAATTCAGAACCCGTCGTACCTTACGCTACCGCACCCGGCAACTGGACGGTTCAGCTCCTTTCAAACATTCTACCCATTTTATCTCGGAGAGCACGCGAACAAAACCTGCCGGCGGTTACATGTTGTGGGTGAGTTTTGGCAATTGCCAACTTTGGCCATTTCACGAGTGGAAGTCCTCGCTAATGGTTTTCTCATACCTATGCAGGAACATCCTTTGTGACAGGAACAATTATCTATGCAATCACAACTGCAACTGCTTCAGCCCTGAAGTGGGTTCCTATTCTAGGATATGGATTCGCCTGGGCAGGACATTTCTTTTTTGGTCCGTGCATAAAACCATAAATGGCATTACACACTGATAGACTGATTAGATTGCCCATTTACAGAAAAGAATAAGCCTGCGACGTTCAAGTATCCCTTGTGGTCGCTCATGGGTGACTTCAAAATGTTTTGGGAGGTGATATCAGGGAAGAGGGCATTTTAGACCACGTCTGCGTCCAGACCTCCATTTTCCATGTTTCGTTCCGCCCCGTAGATAGTGTATTAATTGTGTATAGTTCTCTCTTTCATGGACCAAATTACATGTATATTCTGTGATAGTACCGGTTCCGAGCCAAAGGCTAACTGATGATATCGATCGGTATTATGTCTCATGCAGTAAAATGAAAGCCTATATGATTAACTCTAACCCTCTTGTGTTTGAAATAGGTTATATCACATCATCATTAATAGGAAAAATGTGTGCATCGCCTCTAATAGCCACGTTTACGCTAAGCAAGTACTACATATAGGCCGAACCTCCTGCCCGAGGAAACGCATTTCTATTCCGTGTCAACATAGTACGACCTATCACCAAAATTTTAGTTGCTGTTACGCAAGTCTATCAGTGTACCGGCTTACCGTCATGAAAACTGGCACCTGATATTGGCGTGGTCGTATAGCTCGGTAGCCCTAATGAATTTTGCATGTACTCGTTCGCTGCGCCGGAAGATCGGTTGAGCAATGGACTCGTCATGCTGCTGGACATAATCGACCCAGGCCCTTGCGGGTTAAAAGGTACCCGCATTGCAGTACGTGGTCTAGAATTAAAAGATCCCATACTGGAGCTGTTTTTCACAGGCGTGCGCGGAATGCCATTCGCCATGTATCCGGCATTACTAGTTTGCGCTATATTGCCAGGTCCGATCGGATTAAACTGATTTTGAGTTGTACGCGGTGATGTTGCACCGTTCGTTGGACGTGAGTTGAAGTGAGAGTGACCCGTCCAGGGAGTCTGATGGTAACCAGTGGCCACTTCAGCAGTTGTCCCAGGTCCAATTCCCCTGTATGAGTCGTGGTTGGCGTACAGCGGAGTTCGATAATGGTTCTGATTTGCGAACGTGGCATCGTTTTGTTGATGCGAATGAGGATACATTACTTGATTGCTCTGAAGGTCCATTGGATCAGGCTGAAATGATACTGCTGCAACATCTTGGAAATGATTTACACCATTTATGCTGCCAGGTCCATTGACCCCTCGGGAATTCGGTCGTAAACTAAGTCTCGAAGGAGGATTTGGCGTCTGGATTGCCCGTTTTGAATTGCGGCTTGGTGAGGTACCGAGTGATCGCGAACTGAAGACATCTAGTTCAAGAATCGGTCATATTCGCAAAGAAATGTCTGCATTACCTGTTAGGTCTTGAGTTCCCTGTTGTCGGGCTCCGCTCTGTTAAAGGAATACCATTATTTTTGGGAACTTCTTTGAGTCGCGTGGGCGATTCAGTTGCGATGCTCTGCTTCAGGAGCTCCATTTGATGCCTTTGGGTCATTATTTCATCCTGCGCTTTATTTAATGTTCTGAAAAAAATGTGTTTATGTGTAGATCTGGCATACGACTCTTTGGACATATACCTCACGGCCTCTCGATATTTCCGGTTGTACTCGCTCGTTTTGATCTTCAAGTAGCGTAGGAGTCTTACTGCATTTCCGTACTGCAGCTGGTAGGAGCCCGGCTAAGGTTAGTTCCAACACGATAGACGGCCTGTCATGCAATCAACGTATGCCTACTTTCCAGACTTTCACTGTATCCTCAAGGTGAACAATTGCGGGGATGAATATTTTCTCCACTTCTTCTGGTATCTATCATTGATGGCAAAGACATGGGCAGGTTAGAGATCACACTTAATGCGCGGTCAGACCAGCGGTAAATCATCAACCTCCTTTCGCAGCTCCACCACGGCGGCGGGTTGCCCACAGACAGGACAGACATGCTGCTTGTTTGTATCAATACGACTGCGGCTGACGGCCAAATTCCCCGCGTCGCCATTCTCCTGGCGTATACTATACATTTGGAGGCGTCAGTTCAGAGTCCATCACTTAAGTACAATGGAAGATTTGTTTACCAAGTTTCGCAGGCAATATGGGCACAGTTAGTGACGTAGAATACAGTACCAACGGACGCCCCGTTTCCTGCATTACGCGGATTTTCCCCCAGCGGACATTGTATTGTATGGTCGTATGCGTGACAGCTGAGGTTCGTCCGTACACAAAAAAAGGAACGATATAAAACACGACAAACTGTAAGCTTTCGTAGTAGAACTGATCTGTCATCGCACATCCACATGTGTACCCCAGTACGAGCGTGGCGGTATGCTACCGGAGTCCTAGAGGCAGAAAAGTGTGTACGACTTGATAGCGTGCCTTACCGTCCGCAATGCAACCACTCCAAGCCCGGGTCGTATGCAGCATCCAGAGTTTCCGAGTCACGAGCAGCGGTGGATGTGTCTTTTGCGGGTGAGTCCACCATAGCGTTAGGGGATCGTGGCGGCGACGGTGGGCGGCGGTAAGGGTGTGGTCCGAGATGAGAAGCGCTATGGGAAATTCCTGTCCGTGTGTGATGAGGGACGAAGCTGACGAGAATGGTTACATTGCCATTAAGCCAAAAGTAGATTAATTGCGATAACGCAGGCCAGCAGATGTCGAATTCGGCTGGCCTGGTGCATGAACGAGCAATTCTTTTATGGAAAAACGGTGTGCGTTGACAGGCAAGCAGCATTAGTTTTTTGCCAAATTCCAGTAAGTCTCGGCCTCTTTTTCTGCTAGCCTCATCCGGTGTTCTAACATCCACCTTTCTCTCCCTTAAGGTGATACACCCAAGTGGGCAGAGCAGCCTGTACTGGTCGCTCCACATAACGTGCACGGCGAATCTCTTTGTGAAGGCTATTTGGGATTAACAGAGTACGATGGGTGAAGTTTATCAAAAGATGCCGGCTTTTGCTCGGTTAAGTGAGCGAGTCTGCAGTGAGTTTCTCGTGGTCCGCTGTTTAGATTTGCAGAGTAACCTGATGCAGCCCTCTCTTACAGCTGTTCTAGGCCTGAATCCAGGCAAGTATCCCTACAGAAAGTACCTTGGATTTTCTACACCGAGCTGAAAAACTACCTTATCGTTGCAAAAGGAAAATTTACACTTCAAGGGTGGGTTGGCTGTAAAACCATCAGCAACCTTTACTACGTACATAAACCAAACTCTAAGGTCTGCATTGTAAACCCAGGACAAACACATACTTGGTTGGAACAGGTCATCGAAGGATATTGATAGGTGCGCAGAGTTAGCCGAGAACAGTTCATGTGATTCACTTTAATGTTTGCGTTTAGATACAGGCTCCGGTGTTGCGGACTTTGAGGAGCACCTGCGGACTTCACTAACGAGAGCTGGTGGAATAGGCATATCAAGTATCATTTGCACTCATCGTCATATGGGTATGCAATCTTATTTGAGCAATGATTTTTTCAATTGAGATCTTAAATCCTGTGAAGATCATATATCTGGAATTCCTCAAGTACTGGCACTTCATGGGGGCGCCGATCATATACCCATTTACAAGTACTTGACGGCCAATGACATCCCACCCTTCCCTTATGAGTATACCGCGATCCGAGATGGTCACATATTCAAGACCGAAGGTTTGAAAAACATTGGATATACTTTTGACGTCGTAAGCATTGAAGAGTGTTGTGTTACCAGGTGCTACGCTCAGAGCCGTACATACACCAGGGCATTTGGACGACCATGTATGTTACCTACATCCTGGTTACGCATTCGTCTTCGCTTATCAGTCTTCGATAGGTGGTTCTGTATTTGGAGGAAGAAAACGCCGTATTCTCGGGTGATTGCGTATTGGGGCAGGGTACGGCGGTGTTTGAAAACCTCGCAGAATATATGAGCTCCCTTCGCCGGATTATGGAGCTGCAGCCAGGTCGCTTATACCCTGGACACGGACCGGTGATAGAGAACGGAGTGCAGAAAATAGAAGAGTACATTCGGCATCGACAGGTTCGGGGCTTTTCGGCAGGCAACGTGTCTTACATCTTGATTCATGGTCGATTATAACAGGAGCGCGAAGAGCAAATTGTCGCCTTATTGAACACTAATCCGCCAGGCTCAAAGGATGGAGCTTGGTCCAGTCGCCAGCTGGTTGAAACAATATATGCATCATATCCACAAAGCTTGTACGATGCAGCCGAAGGGTCGCTACTACATCACTTGAACAAACTTTTGAGCGAGGGGAAAGTTCAGCATGTAAAAGGCAAATGGTTATTGACTACGGACAAGTAACTTCCTTCTACATAGTTTCAAAAATTATGCAAAAACAACATAAGAAAACTATCATAGCAATTCAATATATACATTTGTAAATCGGGAGTGCTAAATATACTCATTGCCAACGAACCGTATATCCTGTTCATACTTATTTATCCACCTCCGATTAATAATAAATTCGCTCAGCTTGTTACAGCCGTATACCTTGACCTTGCTCAGTGAACGGCTATTGGCCAGTAACTTCTCCAGAATTGAGTCGTTGACATTTCTACACAAGGAGAGTCAGATACCATATTGATGAAACAGAGAGCTGACACTGCGTACCTTATCCAGGAGACATCCAACTCAGTCAAGTTTGGGCACCCAGTAGCAACTGCTCCAAGAGAGTAGTCTGTGAGCTCGTCCAAACCGTTCAGGTTCAATTGTTGCAAAGATGTCCCGAAATGGTTGACAATCGCCACAATCACATCGTCGTTCATGTGTACGTTCCGAGATAGACTCACAACTGAAAGGCCTGATGGTGCTTTCAGCTTTCCAAAGAAATCTACCATTCCTGCAGATGTCAGCCCCTCGCTCTCCTCCATTGATATCTCTTGCAGTCTCTCACAAGTGGGCACGATCGCTTCGTTGAGTACTTTGTCGGTCAAGTGAGAATGTCTGCGTACCGCAGGTAAAATGGTAATGGTTTAGTGAGTACCGCAATCTATGAGGTGTACCAGACGGATTAGACTTACCCATTCAGTGACAAGACTCGCAATTGTGCACCGACTGTCCGAATTACATGTATCAATGATTCCTCCGACACCTTTTCCCCTAAGCGACTCAACTCCAAAAAGTCCAAGTGCTTCAGGTCCGCAATCAGCCGTATTCCCTCATCGCCCAGTTTGAGACACTGATCAAATCGCAGCAAAGTTAAATTCGGACAGCGCTGCACCAGAACCTCAACTGCCGCCTTGTCCAATTTTGCCGCGTGCTGTAAACTCAACTCTTTGAGCTTCTCGCCCAACCCTTGAAAAAGTGTAATAAAGCCAGAACTCGAGGGGAGAAAGGGACCGCTTAATGAGAGCGACGCAAGGCTGGTGCAGTTTTCGCCAATTATTTTCAGCACGTTATCTACCAAGTGCGTGAGCGGAATATGCCGATGGGAGCATATGACAATATAGGATACCTGTTATGCGGCCACAGTTACCAAGGTATAGTTGATGCACGTTAGGCGACATGTATGCGACCTCAGAGAGTGCCTTCTCGTCCAAGTAAGTGCACTCGGAAAGATTTAGTCGGTCCTCGCCTGGCCCGATAAACAAACGAACATTTGTACTATTCAACTGTCGATACCGCCCAATAATCTTGGCTATTTGGAGTTTGGTTGCTTCCGAGATATCTCCAAACTAGAAAATCATGCTCAGCGCGTTACGCTGGGAAATATGCTCAACATGTGGCAATACCTCCTCCACTTGATCAATATAATCCGCGATAAGCTGAGAAATATGGACGCTCCGGTAAGAGAAAGACAAGTGAAAGTGTACGGTACGCTATGCGTCATTAAGCTACCTTGATGCACAAGTTTCTCAACGACTTCACGGGTCCTCCTTCATCTGAACCTTCGGGAATCACTTTTCCTCTTTTCTTGCGGCCCTTTCGGAGTACTTCTGCCCCAGAGCGATTTGTCTGGATTGACAGGCATGCGGGACATAGAGCTTGAGCATCATCCTCCACCAGGTACCTTCTCTGGCATCGATCGCAAAAGCTTATGGAACCATTGCCGCCCGCATTGCCCTTTTGTGGCGGTTTTCCGCGTCGCTTTGAATGATTGGATCTTGAGGCAATGTGCTTCGTGCATTCTCCTTCTTGAGAGTCCTGATCATCGTCAGAATCGAAGCTTTTCTTCGCCCTCTTTCGCTTCGACGATGCGGCAAGGTGGCAGTCGTCTTTCTCCTGTCCAGTCAATTTTGTCTTTGATCGCTTTTTTGCGCCAGGCCCATTTGCTACAATATTTTCCATGGCTTGCTCCATTTCTGTGGTCAAATTTACCCCGAGCTCTACTTGCATTAACGTGGTCTCCAAGCCCACATTTGCGTTAGGGGATGCATGACTTGAACCATGTACAGGGACAGTTGCTTCTCCACCCAGTTGACCTTGGTAACCTCCTTCACTACCACCTGTTCCAGCGGCAGTATCCCCCTCAGTGCTCTCTGCCAAACGACCTGCGATTTCACCCTCATTAACATTCCCCGCGGCTGCACGTCGTTGCCAGACGTTGCGTGGAGCCCGAATCCCCCGCTCACGCAAAAAGCTAAAGAAGATCAGCAGCGAGCATGATTTTTACCAGAAAAACTTTCATTCCATACCTTGATATGCAGAGGATTGTACTCCGCACCCTGATTGTTG